CGTTCGTGGATGACTTCACCGCGGGGGGGGGGTACCTTCACAATCCGCTTGCTTCAGAAAAAAATGACGAGAGCAAAGACATTTTATCTGAAGCGATTATCATTTTGATGAAATAATGTTGGTCGAGCTTGCGGCCTTGAACAGGAAAAGTGGTTGCGAAATCGAATATACTTTAGGTGACTGGCTAATTTGCGCGCGTTCGTGGGTCAAGCAACACACTCGCAGGCTTTCTCTTCGCCGCCATGGCAACCGTCAGTCATGACATACTCCTTCCACTCAGTGAGTCATTCGTGTGTGTGTGTGTTGGCAAGCGGGATAACACACTCACACATGCACAGGCACAAAAAAGGCAGACACTCCAACGCACGCACGACCCACTTTGGACAAAGTAACCTAACATGGGCAAAAGCTTTTTTTGGTGCAGATGCGGCGAAACGTTCGTTTCCAGGCGATTGGGGGTAACGTGAAATTCAAGTTTGCTCTTGGGGGAGGTCTTCGGCTAAGCTCGTGGTAAAATGTAGGTCAGCCAACACCTGCGCCAAAGACAAAACACGCCCACCAACTTGTCTGGACTCGTCGCTGAGCGGAATCCTTGGCGGCAAAGTCTGCCTAGCGATTGGAGGACGAACTAAAAAGACGCTGACGAAGCACAAGACATTTGGGTTGACTCAGGTTCCCTGGTGTGTCCCACCACCACGGGAGGGGCAATGACCAAAGAGAAAAGTGGGGGTTCAACTGGCCTCGAGGGTACATCCACCCAACCGACAGACGGGAAGCGGACCGCTTGCTGCCTATAAAAGGACGTCGGCGCCATGAGGGCACCTGGCGGTTTTTTAAACGAGACACTTTGGCGTCTTGGGCTGAACGACACACAGAACATCATTTGGAATTTGAGACCACACAATGACAACAACGACACTAATCAACAGAAATCAGATTTTGGAGATCTGAGTTGAGGCCCCGCCCCAACACAAAGAACTTCAATTGCGGTCTGTCGCTCGAAATTGCGTTTTGGGAGGAGTGCGGGTTGACCCGCCTCACCCCAAGCCACATTTAAATTTAGCCGTGCCTCAGAAGAAAGACGGCTCCAGCGGGCGCCCCGTCGTCGTCAAAATGCCCTCAAAACCAGATGATTAGCACCTTGGCGTTCCCCTCGCTGAAAGCCGCCGCCCACTTTCCCAGTAAGGAGAGCGAGAGCGGGGGGGATGGAGGAGACGCTTGCATCAGACTGAAAATCCAGACGCAGGCTTCCATGTGGACGCCATGTGGAGGCCCAGCGGCCAAGTGGCGAAGGAACTGCTTTCTATCCAGCGCAAAAACGTTCCGGGGTGCCGAGTACCCATACTTGCTACTTGGCCGCCATGTCGCGGCATCTTGGTGGCGAGGAACTATGTTGAAGTGACTCTGGTATTTTCACGCGAGCGTACTGCCCGGTCGCCGGGTGACGGCCATTCGCTGGCTGATGGCCAGAAGGGAGCAGGATGCCCTGCCCCGCCGGAGAACAGGCACCTCACTTTTCACGCTTGTTTACTCTGCCGCTGCGTGTTTGCTCACACTGACGCACACGCCTGCAGCGGTGTGTGCGTGAGTGTGTGTGTGTGCGCGCTACTATGGCCAAAAGCAGAGCCTGACATTAGAGTCCATCTGCTGGAGGTTACGTAAGGGGACACATTGTTGGAAAGGCCTGCTGCATGTGCGCAAGCAAGGCTTCTTCCTGCTCCTCCTTCTCAGTCCTGCGGTGCATTGAGTGCAAGTGACTCTCAGTTCCACAAACGCGAGCCCAGGAAGGAGCATCGTCGCTTGCCTCTGAAACCGTGAAAAGGCTTGAAACCGCATGCGAACGCTGCGTTTTGATGGAGCATCTTTGGAATGTTTGTGGATGTCGCCGGTGCAGTTTCTCCACCCACAAGGCAAACACAGCGAGCGGTGTTCATCAAAGCGCTCCGAGGCGCGCTCTAAACAAGAAGATGGCTGCATGACAACAGAATTGAATTGCATGCAAATGAAGGAGAAGGTTGGTCAAAATGGCGGCCTTCGTAATGTCACGCCGTGACCGCGTATTTCGAGCAAGAGGACACCGCGGGTTAACAATGAAGGCCAGGGAGTTACTGTCGTAACACACACACACACACACACACACATTTAACCAGATAAACCTGATCGAGAATTATGACGGGTGTCACTCTCAGGTGGCGGACGAATGACGCACACGCCACCGACTTTGCATTGTTTAGCGGCAAGTCGGGTGTCAACACAGAAGTTGAGTGCGACCGCAAGCTGTAAAGGAAGGCGGAGGCTTAGTTGGACGGGGGTGTGTGGGGAGAAAGGGGTGGGGAGGGGCAATATTGGTTAAGGGGGGAGGTGGAAGCGGCGGGGGTCAGCCGAGGGGAACAAGCGAGCCAGTCTGCTTGTGAACACTGCAGTCTATTTTACATTCATACGCGGACTATGTTAGCGTTCATGGGTGTGCAACCTACGGCCTGTGGGCCACACACACCTTGAATTTCCACGAAAAAACACGGGAGGGGGTTCGAATATCCCACACGTGTGGAATGTTGTATATCTCCACCCACAATCGTTTCGAGGATACGGACTTGCACATGTGAATTTAAACGGGAAAAACTGTCCCCAAAAAGTCTCGAAAGGTGAGCAGAAAGTTTGAATTTGTCACGGGAATGCGGCATCAGAAGCAGAGTTGAGCCACGCCACTGGTTTAAAGGGCCTCCGGTTGCGCTTCAGCACGCGAGTCGGGACCCGTCAAAGGTTGCCAAATGAACAGCGTGTACGTTTGTGGGTTCTCCGGGCTGCGTGCCCGTCCTCCAGGGTTCCTCCTCGGAGCCTGCTTGCAAGTTACGTAACAGCAGTAAGAAAGGCAAATGGCCATTTCGGAAAGTCCTCCAGATGCACAAACGCTGGGGTCCTTTAAGGGCCATTTCGATTTTACGTGACGTTTTAACAACAAGCAGGTGAATGTCTCTACATATGAAATGTTATTGTTTCTGGATACAAAATTAAGTCATCCAACGGCCGATAGCCGATAAATTCTCATTTCCGTCTTTTTAACTGCATGAATACTGTACCCACATTGAGTGGCATTCATTGAACAATGTTCATGATCGTATTTGTAGTTTGCCCTGTTCGGGTATCCAAAACATTTGAAACAGCTGTCAATGTGGTACCAAGTCACACTGAGCACGATCGTGATTGCAAAGCTTCCTTTTGTATTCATTGTGCATGTTTACCTCAAGCACAGTCCAGTGGTTTTGTCCGTGTTTTGTTTTTTTTTTTCTCGATCAAGAACGTGTACTTAAAATGATGTTCGGATACTTATCCTTCATATTTGTAAGCGCTCTGCTAAAAGTAAACATTTAAAAGGAGGAGGGGGATGGGAGCATCCTGGACCTCAAGGCTCAGCTTGCGAAGGGAGAGCAGGGCACGCACGCGCACGCACACGCACACTGACGGCATTCCGCACGGATGACTTTCTTAGCAAAACAAGTATTGAGGGGATGACTTACGTTTGTGTAGAGGGCGCAGTCCATGTCTCCGGCTTCGGACAGCTCGCTGAGGTTGCGGTCCCAGTGCAGGAAGCTTTCACTCGAGTCCAGGATCTCCATGACGCCGTCCCGGGTGGCCTCCTCCTCCTCCTCCTCCGACAACGAAAAAAGTTTGCAAAAAGTTCACAACTTGCTTTGTAGGGAAGGAAGTCGACGCAGCGAGCAGGACCGAGTCTGTGCGTAGCCTAATCAAGAACGAGCTTCCAAGTGTTTGTCGATCATCTTCCCTTCATCTCAACATCCACAGACACTGACCAGCTGCTTTTCTCTCTCTCTCTCGCCTTCCTTGGCTCTCCTCCTCTTCCTCACCGACCAGACGACCTGGAATGCGGAGGTGGAGTCACAGGCCACACAGTGAAATCAGATCGAGCATAGAGCGGTCAAACTGCCCGCTAATAGTGGTTTTTTTGAATGCTTTTTTAATGCATTCGATGTCACCGTGCCTAATTGACACAATGTTTGCCGAAAGTAACAAAGTTAATCGCTGTTTCGTGAGTTTCAGCTGTTGTCTAGTACGAATGTTGACATTTCCGGTGGTCGATTTCAAAGTAAAGCCCTCGGTTTGCTCCATCGGCTTTTCTACGAGCAAGGAAAAATTTGTCGTGAACTCTGATCGTTAAGGCAAAGAACCCTACACTGACATCGATTAAAATGACTTAGACGCGAAAAAAAATCCGATTCGATCCGATGGTGAAAGCAGATCTTTTATTTGTTCCACCTCCGGTTCAGCTACACTACACTACGCATGCGTAGGCGGATGTCCAATCAGGTTGCCGTTGTTGAAACCTGAAAATGACTTTTGACTGACAACCAAAATACCCAATGAGAAACGACTTTCAACTCCACCTCGTCCAATCAGCTAAGGCCAAGAATCCCAACCACGATAGGCCGCCTGCGCTCGCAAAAGTCTGTCAAACAATCTTGAAATTGACGCTTTCAAATGAAAAGTAGTCAAAAACAAAAGCACGTGATGAATTAACGTTTTAATTCTACTTTATTTGACACATGGCTACTTCAATGCTGTTCTTGTCAATGTGGGCGACATTGTGAAATAAGGTCACAAACGCACAAAATGTTGACTTTCAATGTCTTTTCACAGTGAGTGAAACCAGCCAGTTTTGAAGGAAGGAAATGCAACACAAACAACAGCTGCACGCCAGAAAGTAAAAATTTGCAAATGACTAAGAATGAAACACGGAAACAGGTGTGTGCTTAGAATGTTTCAATAATCATTGGCTTTAAGCCTATGACAAATCACTGAAAGCAGAATGGATGATGGGTCATTTTCCTTACATATGATGTGACAAGGACACCTCTTGCCTTATCTGCTCACTTGGGAGGGAAAACAGCATCCTCGGGACATTTTGGACACAAAACTACATTGCAAAATCAATGCAAGAATTGTGTGATTCATTTGGAGAACCGACTGGATGATGTTCCCCACAAATAGGATGCGCCACCGTCCAACACGCCTTTTGTGTGTCTTCAAATTGCGTCGTATGAAAACAGTCTGTCACTGCGGCGTCCGCGTCATTTGGGGTACACAAAGGAAAAAAAAAAAAGAAGAAGAAAAAAGTGCGCAGATCAACGAGGCCTTCATGTTCTGTCGCGAACATTGTCGCTCAGGAAGATGATGTTGTCTGAGAAAATAGAGGTCAACTTTTTAGCTGAGCGTGCGGGCACTCGGGATTCGCTTTCGTTGTTGCTTTTCCAAACCTGCGATGATGGTCGTGGCCTGGCGTCTCACTTGGTTCTTGTCCACATACTCACCGTAATCCAGCTTACCCTCCACAAGAACCCTGGCCCTGAGTGATTCAATGGGGGGGTAAATTGAATTTTTGATTCGCAGTCACTCCCAACCACTGAGTAGTTCATACCCTTTCTTGACGTACTGATAGGCCACGTCCCTCAAACCGGGTTTGAAGATGGACACACGGTGCCATGTTGTCTTTTGGCTGATGTCACCTGGCAAGCCAAAACAAGATTGAAATGTAACATGATTTTTTTTGAAAATACACCAGATTTGCCTACTCTACCATTTCAGAGGTTAAGGCCAATTGGATGAAATCTAACACCTCTCCTTCAATAAAGTGACCACTGTGAGCATCTGATGGCTCAATATTACAAATCACAGCATGTGCTTACATTTCGACAACCTATTTTTTTCTATAGCATATAAATTAAGAAGAAAATATTGTTACACTAAGTGTAGCTTGAGTGAAGCAGTATGGGAAGTACCTTGAACTAACATATATAGTTAGAAAAATATACGGATGGATTTTTCTGTTTACATTGGATGTAAATAAGAGGCCAAGTCAGGTTGTATGACTACAAAACTTGAATTACATTTAGCCTGTCCACCAGCACCCTCTATAGGAGGGATAGTAGACTTGCAGTTAACCAAGGGCAAAGGTAAAGGGACATATTACAACTAGAACATTATTTTATTTTTTTTAGGATTTCTGGCCATTTAGAAGAGAGTGTGTGCAGTCTCTAGCCATGTGTGATGTCAAGTAGCGGCACTGTTTTGGTTACCCGACGAGCTGGTCTCGCCTTCCCCGGAGCGCCACATTTCATTGGTGGCCAGCGAGAAGATGGTGACGGGGTTGCGGCCGTCCACTTGTCTCATCACGGGCTCCTGGCCCACTCGGCCTAACAACTGGACACGATTTATTGCTGCCAGGCAAAGAAGAAACAGTGGACTCTGATGAGTTACAGGTGCTTTTAGACAGAAACGCCCTTCATTTTAGAGTCAGCCTGTCCTCCCTTAAGCATCTCCAGTGGGTCCACAATGTTGCTGCTTGCCTCCGAACTGGTGCTTGCAAGAGGGAACACATAACTCGGACATTCTTTCAATGGCTCCCCGTTCATATTATGATTCTTTTATTTGTTAATCTTAAAATGGTTTTGCCCCACTTTACCGATCTGAGCTCCTTCACCCCAACACACCCACCCGGAGCCTCAGGTCAGCAGACCAGACACTACTGGAGGTGTCAAGGACTAAGCGGAGGTCTCAGAAAGGATCGCAACTTGTCCGTTGCAGCTCCCTCTCTTAGCAATGATCTCCTCCTCTGTCCATTTGAAAACCACATCTTAATGCGTACATTAATTCTTTGGCTCTTGACTCAGCATTCTTCTAGCTTTTTTGACCTCATGTACGGCACTTTGTATGTAGCTACGGTTGTACTAAAAATAGGTTACAAATGAAGTTGAGTTGAGAAATGAATGGATGACGTCTACTCACATCTCTCCAGGATGAGGCTGGTGTCAGTGGTGTTGTTTCTAATCAGCTGCCTGAACACCTGGAAAAGCACGGCGATTTAGCACATCGACTCTTAATATCATGTTTCTCACTTTCCAGTTTCTACATTTGAAAATAAAGACTATTTTAATGTAACTCAATGTGTAATTGGACACCCTGTAAACGAGCAGCACTCCACAACGTATCGGGAAGTCAATGGTTGGTGATAGCGCGACAATCCTTCATAATATGCATCTCTTTTGGAAACATCTTTAGTTTGGCGCCCCACCTGTGCTGAACCTCTTCTCCACATGTTCTCGATGTTTCCCAAAAGTGAATGTAGTACTGTGAAAACCTGCAAATGGAAAAGGTGTAAAATACCTAAATGTTATAGCGAGGAGCTTTCCCCAACCCCGAATAAAACAGGTCATTGTTTAAGGTGGTCGATTGCACATTGTGCTTTCAGTCCCATCACATGTACTGTACGTGGGGTCCGCAGTCTCCCGCCATTGAACAGACAAAAACAAGTTTCAAAATGTACGTCTTTGTCCACCTTTGTTACGGCTTCATGATAGTGCAACATGCCATTCACTCAACGGGCTACAAACTTGTGTGGAACACAAGGCGTATTGAAAACATGTCCAAGTTCGAAACTTACCGAGTTAACCTCACAATACTTCCGGGTCCGTCAGCGAAAAACGTCCCCCTCGACCGGAAACCGGGCGCTCGGGGAAATAAAGGCCCGCTTTCACGCGCTTACGCAGTCAACTTAATACAATATATTACTGAAAATGTATTCAGAGCTCATACTCTGATACAATAACAATGTTTTATAAATAAATCAAATACATTTCAAAACCGATTGCTCTTTTCAATTTTACAGTATTTAAAAATGTGTCGTCCCTTCTTGCAGCTTGTTCTATAGATATGACAGAACAAATAAATTAATGTGTGTGTGTGTGTGTGTGTGTGTGTGTATATACAGTATCTGTAACAGTTTTTCCAATTTTAACACATTTTGACCAACAGGAGGCGCACCACTGACATTTGGGAGGAGCTGTTTGGTAGTGGGATGCGGACTACTCCAAGGAAAACTCCCACACCTCAGAATTTCTTGTTCTCACACACGCACAAACTTCTGGAAAGAGAGCGAGAGAGAGACACACACACACATAGACAGGAGCCATCAAGACTCCGGACAGGCTGTGAGGGCTCCGACATGTCGCTGCTCATACTCATTTGGACTACTTTTGGTGAGTTTAATGAATAGTAGAAGGTCTATGAGGGAAATGTCATGTTTTGTTCATCGTTGCCAAAAAAGGAAACAACAACATGGCTCTTAATGGAAGCCACATGCCAGCTATTACTCACTTTGCCTGTCTTGACAGTAGCCGAGAGCTTAGGTTTAATACCGAGTGAGCTGGACGTGTGTGTGATGATGATGTGGTCCTCTCTTTCTGCTCAGCGGTGCTGTGGTCTCCCGCCTGGACGCAGTTCCCCGAGTTGGCGGACGTGTGCACGGAAGGCAGCTGCTACCCGGCCACGGGGGATCTGCTGATCGGACGCGCCCACAAGCTCAACGCCTCGTCCACGTGCGGCCTGCGTGGAGGCGAAACCTTCTGCATCGTGGGACACCTGGAGGTGAGAAGATTTGGACGAAAATAGGAGACGCGCTCAGCAAATGCATCCTCTTGACTGCTTGTAACTATGTCGGGACATTGAAACCTCATAAAACTCTGAAGAGAATTCTGAGGCTGAGAAATTTGTGTAGGAGGTTGATTTATGGTTTGAGCACTTCCTGGAGATGTTGCAGTAATATAATCAAGTACATATTTGGTACCGTATCTTAAATTAGCCAGACTGTTAAACAGTTATTTCCACAAGTCAACTTTCCCTCAGCGACAATGAAGTACAACGAAGTGAATTACTGTACTTGATTATTTGAAATTAACAGTACTTTGTTTTTTTAACACTTCCTGTGAATGTGATGTCACCAAGTACTTTTGCAGTAAACAAACAAACCAGCGTGCTCGGCTGTGATAAGAAACGACTTTTTTTTGGCCAATTTGTTTTTTTTTTTTTTGCATCGACTTCTGAACTTAAATTTGAGGGAAACTGCAGTACAGTATTTCTTTTACTGCCCCCAAGCGGCCAAGTCAGGTAGCAGCACAATGGCCATTCAATCAAATGTCGAAGTGTGAGAAAAACACTGCTTCTGTGTAGGTAATTGTATTGAGTCATGCGATTACGCGATGTTTTTATGAAGTATATTATTATAGAATGATATTTTTCTTATGAAAGACAAAAAAAAATGGGGGAAAGACAAAAAAAATTTGCGTTGCGGAAGGCAGGAACGCATTGATGGCATTTCCATTAATCTCAAAAGGGAAAGACGATTTCAGATATTTGTTTGTTGTCAAGAATTCATGTCTTTGACATTTTTAATTGATGAAACGTATTTGTAAGTTTGGGGTGGATCACAATGCGTAAGTGGGCGCATGCGCTCATGCCAACTGTCTGTGGTGACGAGTGGGAGTACAGACATTCGCGCGTCGACAATAAAAAGCTTTATGTGGCGGCACAAATGTTGGCCTGTATCCGTCAAAGCGGCGGCGGCGGCTGGTCGCTTGGTGTGAAAGGTGTCCTTTTGGAGTCTCACGCACAGACACACACAGTGGGCTGTCTTTGTGCTTCGGCAAGAGCACGGTCTTCAAGTATGCGTGCTAAAATGAGAGCAGAAAGTATTTGGGAACTCTTCTCACTTTTCAACAACTAAACACACGAGTGAGGCCTCAGGCGTGGACAGTGGAGCACAGACACAGAACAGGCTGACGTGACGCGGTAAACGTCGTTCATTTACTTTGTTGATGTTCGGCGGCCCCGATGCGCTGCAGCTGTGTTTAGGAGGAATTGTGAAACGTTTACCAGAGGTCACACACTTGTGCCTTCCCAATATGGCTGCCGTACACGTGTCAGAAGCGCCATGCTCGCTGCAATTTGCCCATTGAGCGTCTTCAGAACTGAGATGAGATGCACTCGAGTGCAGTGATTATGTAAAAGATGTTGCCTTGGCCTCATTAAATGTCAGCCTAGCGCCATCGAGCAAATTCTTTTTCACATCAGAGGTCTCTAATGGCATGCTTTCGCCATCAGGAGGAGACCAACTGCTTCCCGTGCGACTCCAGGGACCCGTACGACGAGGATGTCAACCCTCTGAGCCACACCATCGAGAATGTGGTCACCACCTTCGCCCCCAACCGCCTCAAAACGTGGTGGCAGTCGCAAAACGGTGAGTACGAGGAGGCCGAGACGTTCCCGTGAGAAGCCGTCTAATGAGAAGACGGGCGGATCGCAGCAGGGGGAGGGCAGTTTCGGGGTGGGGCGCGCGGGCGAGAAACAGGTGTGCATGCGTATCAAAGTACACATTAGGAGGTGTGCTAATGAGACACACGAGCGCCCTTAGACAACATGGAAGGTCTTCATCTCGTGAAGAAGCCATCGCAGTGAACAGTGTGCAATCGAGACAGGTGCTAAATCCATCGAATCTTTGTGTTCCTTCACCATGTTCATGCATGAACAGGCTTATTAGTGGACCGCTAATGTATGGGAACAGATGCGGGATGAACCCTGCGTGTTTGAGTGTGTCTAAAGCAGGAATCCCATCATCTGCTTTTTTTGGGAGGGAGTGGTGGGAATGACCAGCAGCCAGCGCGGCAGATGGCTGCGAAGCGGCAGGAAGCTGCAGATGCAGCGCAGTTTCGTTTGGGATTTCCTAATTCCCTTGTAGCGTCCGGTCCAACATTACTCGTACTACTGCGTTGTGTGCGAGTCTGTAGATGTTGTAGCGCACAGGCTCTCCCCCTCCTTTTTGCATTTCTACTCCTATGATCTATTTGTTCATTAATAATGTCTATATTTGAGTTTTGATCACATCCTGTATACAACATGGGCCCCTCGATAAGCCCAGCAAACCCACTGAAAAAAAAAATCAATTGCAACATTTCATGACTTTTTTTTTTGTATCTACAATTCACGTAGAAGTGCAAGCTGTGTGTCGACGCTGCTGCGCAGAAAATGTCATTGTTGGTGTCCTGTGTGCAGGTGTGGAGAATGTGACCATAAAGCTGGACCTGGAGGCAGAGTTCCATTTCACCCACCTCATCATGACTTTTAAGGTGCCGCTTCTCACACTCACACGTGTTTTAAGTGAATGGTGGAAAAGGTCCCGTGAGATACAGCCGGCGGGGGCCAACTGTGGCGAAGGAATGTGAACGAGCGGTGGGAAGAGAGGAAAGGCGGATCATTTCGTCAGGGTGATGGCGGCCAGCTGGACCGATGCTGCCCGTGACATCAGCCGACATTCCGACGCGCTGATGACGTGCGTGAACTTCTGCGGCTTTGTCGCTTACCTTCAGACGTTCCGGCCGGCCGCAATGGTGATCGAGCGTTCGATGGACTTCGGGAAGACGTGGCAGGTGTACCGCTACTTTGCCTACGATTGCCGGACGGCATTTCCCGGCGTGTCCCCGGGGCCCATGGTGAAGGTGGACGACATCATCTGCGACTCGCACTACTCAGACATCGAACCCTCCACCGAGGGAGAGGTCTGTTTCCTGAAACCAAAACAAACAATAAACATGCAGCGTCACTGAAGGAATCAAATGGACGTTTCCTCACCGTTTCCCAGGTGATCTTCCGGGTGCTGGACCCCGCCTTTGAGATCGAGGACCCGTACAGCTTGAGGATTCAGAGTAAGATTCTCTGCAGATCCTTCCATCTCACTTGACCACTGACCCCACTGGTGAGCAGGGCACTTCCTTTTAACCCCACCAGGAAGGGAAGCTTGGAAAATTCCAGCAAAATGAAGTCTGGGAAATGAGGTCAGACGGGAAGAAAACGCCGGGAGGGAATTTCGCACGTGGAGGAGGATATGGCCGTGTACACAAGACTTTTTCCCCTCACTCAAAACAATCTTTGTCCACAGCAAGTGCGTTTAAAAAAAAATCTCTCTCAACAAGAAATACTGTAGCTCCTAATGAGAACTCAACTTTAGACTGTCAGAAGCAGGATGAAAGCCCACGCCAGACCACAGCCTGGACTGGTTGCCAGTCAATCACGGAGCACATACAGGGAGACCACCTTCACAAACACGATAACTTGAATCGGGATTCGGAGGGGGGCAGGTGGTGCTCCTCGCCATTTGTCCATGAAGGCCCCCTCCAAAAGGCTTTCATGTCATGTCCTTTGCTCCGCAGACATGCTGAAGATCACCAACCTGCGTGTCAACTTCCTGAAGCTGCACACGCTGGGAGACAACCTACTGGACACGCGCAAGGAGGTGACAGAGAAGTACTACTACGCGCTCTACGACATGGTCGTCCGTGGCAACTGCTTCTGCTACGGACACGCCTCCGAGTGCGCCCCCATCGATGGAGCACCGACGGGAGCCGAGGGAATGGTGGGCGGCACACGCGCGGTTCGCCTGCGTCCACAACAAGGACGCGTTCTGATGAGCGTGTTGTGTAGGTTCACGGGCGGTGCGTGTGCAACCACAACACAGAGGGCCTGAACTGCGAGCGATGCAAGGCCTTTCATCACGATCTCCCCTGGAGGCCTGCCGAGGGCCGCAACGCACACGCTTGCAAGAGTAAGACTCACGACTCCCTCTAATAACCTTTCCACGTTCCTAAAAGAACACAAAGAGCTGGACAGAGCCGCCGTCTCCTCTCCAGGGTGCGAGTGCAACCAGCACTCAGGTTCCTGCCACTTCGACATGGCCGTCTACATGACCACGGGTAACGTCAGCGGCGGCGTGTGCGACCACTGTCAGCACAACACGGTGGGTCGCCAGTGCGAGCAGTGTGCTCCCTTCTTCTATCAGCACCCCAACCGAGACTTGCGGGACCCCAACGTCTGCGAGCGTACGTTATGAACAAGTCCCACGCGCGGTGTAACCTTGCCGCTCCCTTCTTGAAGCCATCTCTCATGAGAATCTCCTCCACAGCTTGTAACTGTGACCCGGTGGGATCCCTGCAAGGGGGGCTTTGTGATGCCAGGACCGACGTGGGCGCCGGACTCATCTCGGGCCAGTGTCGCTGCAAAGACCACGTTGAGGGGGTGCGCTGCGACCACTGCAAACATGGTCACTATGGATTGGGAAAAGGCCCGCAAGGATGCCTGGGTAAGAACACCAAATCACCGTCTGGACTCAAGTATTGGGATTTTGCTGGCCAAACACGAAGTAAGAAGTCTTGCCCAACATCACTGGTCCCACAAAGTTCGATGCGTCCAAAATTTCTTGCTTAGAGGAAGACAACTGAAGACGAGAGTGTACTTTCAATTTCCATGGCCTAAGTTTGAAAATTATTTTCCCACTCTCATGTTCTTACCACACATCTACACGACCGCAATAGCCTCTCAGAATTTTTGCGTTGTGCGCTTTGGCAGCTTGTGTCTGCAGTCCACTGGGAACGCTGCCGGGAAGCAACTCCTGTGACTCGGAGTCAGGAAGGTGCTTCTGCAAGCGGCTGGTCAGCGGCCACGAATGCGACCAGTGTCTGGTAGGAAGCCTGAGTTTGTGCAGGTCTCGAGCTCAGTCGTATCCTGACCGACATGCGCTCTACCACAGCCGCAACACTGGGGTCTGTCCAATGACATGGATGGATGTAGACCATGTGACTGCGACAAGGGAGGGGCTCTCAACAATGAGTATGTCCTCTCATCAATTACGGTTGTAAAAAAACAAACACAATTATAATAAAATAAAAATCCCCGATTGTGCCATTCCACAGCTGCGACCCGGTGTCTGGACAGTGCCAATGCAGGGAGCACATTTTCGGCAGGCGCTGCAACCAACTTGAGTCCGGCTTCTACTTCACGGCTCTGGACCACTACACCTACGAGGCTGAGGACGCCCAACACGGACCTGTGAGCACACCAACACACCACCGATCTCCTGTTCCGGAGAAGATGATTTTTCAAAAACGAGTGCCTGTCTGACAGGGAGTGTCAGTGGTTCAGCGACCATACCCTCTGGATCGTAGCCCCACGTGGACTGGAATGGGATTCGTTAATGTACCAGAGGGAGCCTACTTAGAGTTTAACATCGACAACATCCCAGACTCCATGGACTACGATGTGCTCATCCGCTACGAGCCACAGGTTAGCTTCGCTTTGTTTTGACTGACTTTGAGGCTTTTAATCGAGAGTGACCCAGATCTGGTGCTCGGCAACAGCTTCCGGAGCAGTGGGAGCAGGTTGACATCAGAGTCCAGCGCCCCGTCTTCAACCCACCCAACTACTCCGTCTACTGCAGTGGTTCCGTCAGTGATGGAGATGAGCAATACGTCTCTCTGCCACCCGGTTCAAGGTAAGTCAACAGAAGCGTGCGCCTCAAATTCAGGATGATCCTCCTCCTCACCGTATCGTCCCTGCTTCCTGCAGACACGTGTTGCTGCCCACCCCCGTGTGTTTTGAGAAGGGACAGAACTACACAGTCCACATCGGCCTGCCGCTCTACTCGTCCTACAGCGACATGCACAGCCCTTATACGCTCATCGATTCAGTACGTTTCTCTAAGACATCAGCCGTGTAAGCCTTGAGACATGTTTAGTATGCGCCCCCCCCGTTCTTCTTCTTCTTCTTCTTTGCAGCTGGTGTTGATGCCCCGGGTCCGGGAGCTGGAAGTATTCCTGGGCACAGAGGGTGAAGCAGCCTGGGATACGTTCCAGCGCTACCGCTGCCTGGAGAGCAGCCAGAGCGTTGTCAAGAGCCCGATGACAGACATCTGCAGCGACTACATTTTCAGTGTTTCTGCACTGCTGCACAAAGGAGCCATGCGTACGTTTCTTTGAAAACAAAGTGAACCGTGTCCTCTGGAACGACAGAATCATCTACGCCCCGGACATCTCACGGTCACGTTTGTTTTCTTTCCCAGCGTGCCAGTGTGACCCGCAAGGTTCTGTCAGCGCTGTGTGCGAGGCCAGCGGAGGCCAGTGTCAGTGTCGACCCAAAGTGGTCGGCAGGAACTGTGACCACTGTGCCCCCGCCACCTTCCTCTTCAGCCCCACCGGATGCAGACGTAAGTGTTTGGCAGAAGTTGGGGAGGTGCTTCTCCCCGTTCGCTTCCAGACGTAGTCAGACTTCAATTTCTTGCCCCAGTCTGTGAATGTGATCCTCGAGGGTCAATTGGCGCCCTTTGCCACGAATCGACCGGGCAGTGCAACTGTGTTCCCGGGGCCGCGGGGCGCCAATGTGCCCACTGTCTGCCGGGATTTTGGGGGTTTCCTCATTGTCGACCATGTCAATGCAACGGCCACAGCGAAGCCTGCCACCCCGAGACCGGAGAGTGCCAAGGCTGCCGAGACTTAACCACCGGACACTACTGTGAGAGGTATGAGGGAGGGGGAATTTCCGCATACTTCCTCAATCACGTCATTGTCGCTTCATCTCACAGATGTCTGCATGGTTACCATGGTGACCCAGAGTTGGGCTCCGGCAGCCACTGTCGACCATGTTTGTGCCCCGACGGCCCGCAGAGTGCACGTCAGTTTGCCGACAGCTGCTACACGGAGGCCGACACAAACCAGCTGGTGTGTGTGTGTAGCCCCGGCTATAAAGGTACAACACACACATCAAATCTTGACAATTGGATTTGTCTTTTGTGCAAGCATGGAAGCGGCTCTGTCATTCAATACTGCCTGAAAGCTTCTTTTTTCCTATTTTCTCGGACCGCTTCCTTTAGGTGCCAGGTGTGACGAGTGTTCCCCAGGTCACTTCGGCAACCCGCTGGTGCCCGGCGGGCGTTGTTTGGCGTGCCAGTGCAACGGCAACATCAACATGGAAGACCCGGGATCCTGTGACGCTCGGACAGGCTCGTGTCTCAAGTGTTTGTACCACACGGATGGCTATGCCTGCCAGCACTGCACTACCGGTTACTATGGCAATGCCGCCACTCAAAGTTGCAGAAGTGAGTGGAGACATGTTTGTTGCAAAAAGTGCGGTGCTTTTTGGGTGGATGCTGTAGGGGTCATCCCACAAATTCTCAATAAGCTTGACTGGTTTGTCCTGCAGAGTGCATGTGCCAGCCAGCGGGCACGGCGCCACATGCGTGTTCATCGCCAGATGAGTGCCAGTGCGACCAGCACAGCGGCCAATGCGCCTGCCTGCCCAACGTGGTCGGCCAGAACTGCGAGCGCTGCGCGCAGGACACGTGGAACATGGCGAGCGGAACGGGCTGCCAGCACTGTGACTGTGACCCGGTCCACTCCTTTGGCTCCTCCTGTGATGAGGTGAGTCCCGGTAGCATGAAAATCAGACAGGTCCTTTGAATTCTCAATGACAGCAAAGTGACCTACGTCATCAGAAGCGGGGGCGGGTGCCTGTGAAATGTTCTCATGTTCCGGGTCCAGCTGGTTGGGAATTGCTGCTCTCGCTTTTGCAGTATGATTCGATTTTCTGCTCACACACACGCACACACACAAACAACACAGGAACCCAAAGCCAGCACAGACACAAAGTATCTTTTTTTTTTTGGTCATGGCTCCACGCCACCAGAGGAAGGAAGTTCTGCAAAGGGACAATAGAAGTACAAAGGTCCATTGTGCATCTTGATACAAAGACACGGCACTTTTGTTTGAAATTGTAAAAGTGTTTGCTTTGGCTTCTAGGTGACGGGACGGTGCTCGTGTAAACCGGGTTTCGGTGGCAGGACGTGTCGGGAATGCAGGGAGCTCTTCTGGGGGGATCCAGAAGTCAAGTGTCATGGTATGGCAAATTAAAGCTGAAAGAAGGGCAGGCCTTCCATTTCGTTTGATGACCAAGTAGAACAATGTTGTGCCCCCATGCGGCGACTGCATCCTATTTGGTCTCTTTTCAAAGCCACAGTCTCACCATCAGCCCTTGTGGAGCAAAGTGGTATCCTGAGACAACAGACACTCAATACGGCTGCTGGCTCCGGGAATGACCTTGTGTTCTCTGCTCATGAGAACCAGATGTTCAAGAAATCCCAGGCTTCTCGGGTTTTTTTTTTCCCTTCTTCGTCCCAGTAACACTCACAGGACCCAAGAATCCTTCACGATTCCCACTTATAGGTTTAGCCAAGCTGTTAAATCTCTGAGGCGGGACCGCTAGTTGGTACTGAGTATACAGATTGTTGAGTGGGAGTAGTCATCCTTTAAGTCGAAGCGTCCACACACGTTCCAAACCGATTCCACCTTAAAGCGCCCTAACATCTGGAAAATAAGAGCAGAAGAAGCCTGCCTTTCCTTCAGTCTGACTTCTCTTGCAGGCTTGTGGGGTAGTTAAAGTCAGGATGAGTGGTTTTATTTACAGGACAGGAAAAGATGAAAGCCGATTCTCTTCCCCGAGGAGATGTCGACATGACTGAGGCCTTTAGTATGCGTGTCCTCCTTTTTTTGCAGCTTGTGACTGCGACCTCCGTGGGATTTCCAGCGAGCAGTGTGATCGGGCGACCGGACACTGCACATGCGTGGCGAGCGTGTCGGGCCCGCGGTGCGACAAATGCGCCAGGGGCTACCAGGGGGAGTTTCCCGACTGCCAGCCTTGTCACCAGTGCTTCGCCACGTGGGACCGGGTGGTCGAAGAGCTGACGAACCAAACGCGGCGATTGGAGGCAAAGGTGACAGAGCTGCAGACCAGCGGAGTGACGGCACCGTACCAAGACTTAGTGACCAGCCTGGAGACCAACGTCAAGACCGTCATGGAGATTGTGCAGAGTAACCCTGCAGCGGTGAAGCTGGAGGAGATCCAGGACCTGATGCACCAGATCACGTAAGTCCACAAAGGCTGCACATCCTGTCCCATCATTCAATTACATTTCTAGAGCACTTTTCATTGGACTCTCCTCCTCAGTGGCGTCATGTCCTACGTGGACGGGAAGGTTAACACAACAGAGGAGACCTTGAATGTCCTCCAGAGTGAGGTCAGCGCCAGCGACGCTAACTTGGACGAGCTGACGGAGCAGGCAAACCGCTTGGAGCGCCGTGTCCAGGAGCTCAGGCAGAAGGTGTATGATGCCAAGAACGCCAACTTTCAGGGTGACAATTCAACTCACTTCAACATTTAAACTTTTCAGCACAACAACCTGACGTGCTACTGGGATTGATTTCTTCATTTAGGGGCCATGGACACCATCACAGAGGCAAACCAAGAGTCGCTACGAGCGGAAATCCGAGTCAATGCCTCCAGCAGTGATCCTGGGAACACCGTGGAGCAGTCGGCGGTACTTCGCACGGTGACTGAGGAGAAGCTGAATGGCAGCCGGAAGGAGTTTGATCGCAAGTACCAGCGAAACACACAGAAGATGGACAAGCTCAAGAACGAGCTGGAGAAACTGGATCTGTCAAATCTCAGCAAGAAGGTGAAATTCTCACAAAGCGACTTTCAAGGGACATGGTGCTCATTCATCTCTTTGGCAGATGTGCGGCACCGCGGCCGATGGCGACGAGTGTCCCGGCTCCGCTTGTGGCGGGTTGGGCTGCGCGGAAAAGGACGGTGTCGCCCGGTGTGGTGGCGAAGGATGTGAAGGCCTCGTCGCGATCACCCGAACCGCTCTCAAGTCAGCCAAGGAGCTCGATGAGGAAATCCTGTCAGCCGTGCAGGAGGTGGACAAGCTCTCCAGGATGGTGAGTGGACGGGTCAGCAGTACATCCATTTTTGGGGCGGACGTTGGGAAAGACAAAGTTTGGTTTCAGGTGTGGGAGGCCAGCAATCGAGCAAGGGAGGCCAAGGTGAACGCTCAACGGGTGCTGATCAAATCCAACCAAAGCAAAGAGCGGGTGGAGCAGAGCAATGAGCAACTGCGCCGCCTCATCAAAGACATACGAGACCTGCTCATGAGTGAGTATGGCTGCCCCCCCCCCCTAAAAAAAAAAAACAACATCTCTGAGACACGTCGTTACCTGCGCAGACGACAAGGCCAATGCATCCGTCATCGAGGCAGTGGCCAACGAGGTCCTAGCCCTAGATATGCCCACGTCGACGGAGAAGCTGCAGGAGCTGACAAGGGAAATCAAGGAGAAGGTCAAGGCTCTGACCAACGTGGAAAACATTCTCATCCAGAGTGCCGACGACATGAAAGCTGCGAAGGAGCTGTTGAAGCAGGCCGAGGCCGCCAAGTAAGAAAAGCGGTTTACCGAAGATGAGACGGGCATCCCCAGTTGATTAAGCAGGAGCTGCTCTTGTCTGTCCATCAGTCAGGACGCATCCGACTTGACGGAGCGGTCACAAGCGGTGAAGACGGCTCTGGACGAGACTGAGCGTGCTCAGAGCCTTGCTGTGGATGCCATCCAACTGGCCCAGAAGAACACCAAGGGCACTCTGGACTTGCTCCTTTCTGTGAGCCTGATCTCCGGAGTGTGTGGCGGTCGCGTGTTTTCCCGTGACATACAGCGGTGTTTTGCAGGTGGACTCAGAGACGGCGTCGTCAGAGCAGCGTCTTGGAAACACCACGGGCCGGCTGCTGCAGCTGGAGCGCGAGGTGGGCCTCCTAAGGCAGAACGAGCTGGAGGTCAACAGCATGGCGGAGACGGCCGACTGGATCAGCGAACGGGCCAAGCAGGAGGCCGACGAGGCCCAGCAGGTGGCGCACAAACACACCCCTTGACATGAATCAGCCTCTTGTCAGTGTGTGACCCTTCACCTGCGCCTGAAAAGGAGTTTGACACGGAGGTGAAGGACAAACTGGAGGAGGTGGAGGACCTGGTGGAGGACAAGGGGGAGTCGGTGCTGCAGGCGAGGAGACGAGCAGACGAGCTGCAGCAGGAGGCCAGGGAGCTGCTGGCTCAGAGCAGCGGCAAACTCAAGAGACTACAAGGTAAGTTTGGAGGCACGTGGCTCATGTTTAAAAAGCCACAAATCACCATTCTGCTCTCCCAGAGCTGGAAAGCTCCTACGAGGACCACCAGAGAACCATTGAGGCGAAAGCCGCAGAGCTGGCCGAGCTGGAGGAGACCGCCCGCCGCATCTTGGATGACATCAGTCACAAGGTGATGCTCTACAGCACCTGCCTGTGAGAAAAGGAGCGAGGCTCCTCTAAAAGCAGACATGTGATCTAACCAATGAGGCAGCTTTCGGCGCCATGTTGACTCTTCTGCAGTCAATCGTGCGAGTCGTGACCAAAACCACTAGACACCTAACGGACCTCTGTGCCACTAAGCCAAAGTGGGAACAAATGAGCAGAGCCTACTCATCAAGAATTTGGGATACCGGGCTTTGTGAATTTTGCTGTTCAGATTCTTATTAGAGATCAAAAAGTACGGAAACATTCAACAGTTGGAGATGTGCATTCAAATGTTTTGACTAAGTGAGGTTTTGTGTATTTTACCTTCTTCCTGAAATTTCAACACAAAAGCGCAATATGCCTCCACTTTTTGTGTCGCCATACGAGTTTTTGACTGAATGGATCAAGAGGCGTAGTATTCAGAAACTTATTGACAAAATATGTTTCAAGCCTCTTGGAATTAGTGTGTGGAATCATACTTAATCAAAAACATTTCTTTCCTGTACAAGGAAAATAAAATGTAACTTTTTATTCCAAAAATAAAACCAATGAAGCATTTGTTTAATCAATTATTGGGATTTTTTTTTTTTTTTTTAATAAAGTTTGACCCACAGCCACTTTAGCAGCAGTGTTTATTCCTGTTGAAAGAGAGCATACAAAAAACCCCAACAGCAACAGTGTTTACTCCTCACATTTTGAACAAATTAACTGCCTTTTATGGACATGTAGAAGCATCACATGTGGACTCACTCTGTGCTGGTGTTGTGCCGGCGTGTGATCCCGGAAGCGTCAAGATGGCATTAAGGAAGGGAAAAAAAAAACCCTCACTCTTGGCAACGTGGACGTGCGTCCCCTTACTTGCGGGTGCCCGGCCAGCGAGGAGGCGGGGCTCCCTCCATGGGAGCCCAGCTAGGGACGGAGACCAGTTGGCCGTCGTGCAAGTGCTCGTTGACGCGCAGCTGGCAGCCGTCCTGCAGCATGCGCAGCGCGACGCGGGCAATGTTGCGCGAGTCGTCCAGGCCCGAATGGGGGCGGCCTTCATACTGCAGGCCTAGCTTGTCCAGCATGGTGCTCAGCTTGGTCTGCGTGCGCGGCACCTTTTGGCGAGGCACACAGCGAGTTACTGGCTTCCTGTCAAAAGTACCTAGAGGAGCCGCGCCGACGGATTCCAGACATATACGAGTGGGAAGGACGGGACTCTGCTTTTTGAATTACTGTGAGGAAAATATTGACTGGGGACATAAAATCGAGTCAAAGCGTTTTCTCGTGCGCGTGTCTCCCTCTGCTGGCCGTTCGACACAACGCAAGGATTTTCAGTGGTTAGTTTAATGAAGCAACATGCTACAAAAACTACAAAAATGATTTTCCAGTGTATATTATTTTACTTTTTTCATTTTGCTATCTCACACAAAAACAGGATGGAACAGTTTTTTTATTTTACATGTTTATATTTTTTTATTATTATTAGTGAGCCAGAAAGGGCTTTTTAATTCATCTGTGGTGAATATATAGAGCTTTGTCCCTCCCCGCAAAAAGTAATTCACTGAAGCGACCTCCATATAACTAATGAAATTTTAGATTTTAAAAACGTCAGATATCTATATCAGTGAATTCGTTTCACCATTTCATTTTCACGTTTTAGAAGTCAATTTGGGATGTGATTTGCGACATGTTTGCATTTGTATCCTGTGACAATAATTATACTCATTTTAAAAAGCTCCCTATTTGTACACTATTATTAACAGTCATGAATGCAAAATCCAAACCTTGTAGAAGTTGCCGTAAGACTTGCGGATGTTGATCCACTTCCTGGCAAACCGCGGGTATCGGATCTGGCTGACGCGACACTGGATGTTGAGGAACTTGCTCATGTCCCACGCCCTGCGCAAGGTGGGGAAAAATATGTCAGGATTTCAACAAGTTTTGCTGAAATAAGAACAAAAGAGTGACACCCACCCATCTGTGAGGAACGTATATTTGTACTTTGTACCCAACTCCCTCTCCTCAAGCCACTTCACAACTCGCTTCAGGACGGCCGGGAACGGCTTGGCTGCGTCCACCTTGTCCTGGTGCATAAAAACACAATTTACTCTTTAACTCAACCGAAGCTGAAATCTGTAAAAAGAACGGTAGTGAGCCATGATGTTGGAAGACATACAAGGAATCTGTAGACTTAACAAACCCAATTTTAAGACCTTGTAAGGCCAATTGAAAAAAAAAAAAAAAATGAAGAGCCCCTCTTCCCTAAAAATGCCCACTCAATATTATATCACATTACTTTGACTTGAATTGAACTCTACACTCAAAGCTTTGAAATGCAGATGAAAGAATTGTGCAATTTTGAAAATTAAATTCAAGACTACAACTGGCAGCCTGAGGAGATCACAAGGGGAAATAAAACCGACCTGCGTAATTCCCGTGAGCTTCACACAGAAATCTGAGAGCGTCGGGTACAATTCAGGTTTGACGTATTCCTGAAACGTTCCCACCTGAGGAAATAAAAATAAGTAATTAGACAATGAGGGATGGAGAAAAGTTGGTAGGTGTTTTTTGTTTTTGTTCATTCCTCTTACAATCTCCAAGGTGTGCGTGCTGATGAGCACCATTGGGAATTCGATGATTTCATGCAGAAAGTCTGGTGGGTTGTCCTCCTCGCACGTGGCCTCAAAGTCCACCACACAGATGTAGTCATAGAAGAGGTCTGTCGGCCCGGAGTCGGCCGCTGACTGCGTCAGCTTCTGCTTCTTGTAGTGGCTCTTCAGTCGCTTCTTCATCACGTCCTTCACGCCCCTTCGCCAACAAAACACCAACGTGACGTGAGCACCACTTCCCATGCGGAGAGGTAGCCGGGCACTTGGTCCTACCTGGTGTCCAGTTTGAGCTGAGACAGCTTGAGACGCAACTCCTCCTTGGACATGCGGTTGATGTGACCGTTGGCCAAGGCGATCTCCTTGTACACGGGGTGGCTGAAGTCGCTGTTGGACGGCTGAGGAGTTTCTCCTTCTTTGGGACACATGGTGTTGCTGGGCTTCATCTGACGAATAATTACATCATACTTTTTAAAAAACCAACGAGTAATTTCATTGAGACACTTTAAAGTTTTTTTTGTTGATCAATATTACTGCATTATTGCATTCATGTCCAACTGTACTTTAAATATGTGGCCAAATTGTGTTTGCTGCCATTGTGGCTTTTTGTTATTGTATTACAATGACTCCAAGTACCACACACAAAATCCTTTTTTCTTGTTTCAATTCAGAGACCCCTGCAAAATGTTCGGTCACCTTTCATTTATAAATCTTCACTGAGATGCAAAGAACATGGCGTGTTTTTCGTTTTATTTGGATTGCGGCAAAAGCACAGCAAGCAGGATTGGCTTCAAAGTCCAAGGCTTGAATTTTAAGTTATCTTGATTTTATTATCTTGCAGCGGTCTCGTCAGTGTCTTTTTTTTCCTCCCCAACAACTGTAGTATTGTTTATACTTTAAATGAACATGCATTGACTTACACCTCGTTGTGTGAACATTGCCTTAAATGCGATAAAATTGGCGGACATTACAAACCTGCTCGTCGTCGTCGTCTCTATTTCCCGTCTTGACGTTCACGTCCTTGCCATCAATATTTTCCTTGTGCTCCTCCATTTAAGGTCATACGTCCCCGCCAAAAAATATTGAATAAAAGAATGAATACATAAAAACAAGCGAAATGAGCCCCACTTAGCTTAACATGACAACATAGCTAACCGAGGCGGAGTGATTGGCGCGCTCCGAGGTTTAAACGCACTTTCGTCACTTGCACTGGTCGTAATTAAAATTATTTAAAAAGTATTAACAATCCGTAAATATAGCGATGGTGTTAAAAGAAGACAACAGCTGTTGTCAGTGAACGAAGCAGGAAAGCATTTTCTTTCAACTTTTTTTCCGTTGGGCTAACTTCCGTTTTGGGGTTAAACGGAACAGAAACAGTGCCGCCTTGTGGGGTGGATGGCACACTGCCACTTATTTACACTGAGGCTTCCTGTCATAATTGCTGAATTTAAATCAATATATTATTGTCTTGTTTTTATTTAGTTGAATTATTACATATTTGTAAATAATACATTAAAAACTACGAAAAATATCAACTTCACGTGGACTATTTGCTCCTGTCTTTATCATTCGGAGGAGAGCATGCTTGCGCGTAAAGGACACGTGTTGCCATTGCATTTGAATTCCAAATGCTGCTTGCAGTGCATTTTAACCAAAATACACCGAGAACAGTTTTTCAAACACATTTTATGCTGTGGAATACCAACAGAGACAGACAAATCACAGCTTTTTGTGAAAAAAAAATAGCGAAACAAAAAGTAAATGCCTTCTTAAAATCCCACTGATGTATTCTTATTTGGGTTTTTAAAGGGACACAAACAAGGCGCCATGATGCATCTTCACAGTGATATCTGGTGCGAGCGCTGCAGTCCACCTCAATCATTCAGGTCATTATGACCACCGCAGGACGGTGCCACTCCAGTTTTTAAGTGGTCAAGGCCACTTGGGATCACAAAAGCGAGTACTGTAAATGCATCGCATCACATCGTGGCAGTTACCCGATGCCGTGCAAATAACAGAGAAACAGTAAGCCCATTCCCCAAAATGTCAAAAAGTATTTCTTTGAAAAACACGTGAGAAAACTACACAAAAACAAACAGTGCACCTTTCCGAGGATTCGTCTCTTTGTTCATCGCTCTACACAAGTGACATGTATACTCACAGGCAAATCAATTCAAAGCCCGTCCGCTCGATGACAGAGGGTGCGTAATTAACAATTTCTCAGTCCATTCAACTTGAAATTGAGACGTCAGCATGTTACCTTCAGAGACCCAATTTAAAAATGTTCTGGATTTTTTGGAGTGCTATTTTCCTGATTAAAAAAACTCGTTACAATTTTTTTTGGGGTGGGCTCAAATTGATGAATGGCATTCGGTGGGCAAAGATGATTTGAGATGAGCGATATGAGTTACGCAACAAATTAAACGTGTAACTCATGGCGCCACGAGTGACATTTTTGTTGAGTGGCGTGTGTGAGATTTTTGTCAGTTCTTTTTTCTTAAATGTGCCCTAGTTCAAAAAAAAAAAAAAAAGATTGTGAAACACTTGACCTCGATTTCAAAAACGGTCTCTCAATTTTCCCCGCAAAGAAAGGTGGCAGGCGGCGGCAGCGTGTGTCTTTTCCGAAGGCAGCGTCGTGACCAGCTCAGTCTTCAGCTTCTCCATGGACGGCGCCGGCGGCGTCCGTCAGCAGCTTATCTGGAAATTTGTTCCGTCCCGGCGCGTGACCGCGAACAAGTGCTGGTGTAAAAGGCTATATGTAAACTCCTCGTCTGGTGTCTCCATGGCGACACACAAATACACTAGGGACCTCACAAAACGTTTGGGCGATTCGACCTTGCGGTGGAATTTCAGAATGAACCTCAAGTGGACCAAAGACGTTTACACGCGATCTTACATCTGACCTTTGGCCAAGTGTCGAATGTTCAATTATTGAACACTTGAGTACTTTTTGCACAACTTGCAGTGATTCTCAAAGTGTGGCAGGCGAAATAATTACTGAATTAAAATTCTAAACTGCATCAGGTTCAAGTGGCTTTAGCTTATGTTTTTTTCCCTGATCCAGTACAGTACTTGAGTGCTTTCGGTGAACTTGTGGCTGTTTTAATGCATTTGAGGTTCATCCCGAAAGGTCCGCTGAAACCTTTCCAGCTTTGAGCGAGCGGCGCCGGTCTCAGTGCGGCAGCAGCAGTCGTTCCAGGGCGCACTGCAGATGCTCCCAGTTCTTCCACAGCAGCGCCAGCAGGGACACGCCCACACAGGTGAGGGCCAGGCGCAGGCGGCTGCGCAGGAGCGGGGCGGCGAACTTGGCCGCCGTGGACACGCACACCAGGATGACGGTGGCGAAGGCCAGCATGATGTTGATGCACTTGCCCAGCAGCACCTTGGCGTCGGCGTTCTCCAGCTGCACCGTCTGCTGCTGCTGCTGCTGCTGAAGCTCCAGCTTGGACACGCGCGTCTGGCACGACTCCAGCACCTCCTGAACGCGCAGGCGCAAATGCGTTTGCTTGCAGCGGCGGTGAAAGTGGTTTTCCCGAGTGGCGTCGGCGCCGCTTACCTGGATGTCCCTGGCCCTCTCGTAGGCCTGGTAGGCCACCTTTTCCTCGATGCTGGCCAGCTCCTGCTTCAGGTTGCCGGTCTCGTGCTGGTGGAGCTCCGTCAGGTCGTTCAGCTGGTCCTCCAGGCGCTCGTACCTGACGACGCCCCAGAAGGCACGGAAACAGAGTTCAAGCGGATCTTTCCGCAAATATCGAAATTGTGACGTCAGTGCCGCACTCACCTGTAGCGCTCCTCCTGCAACACCTGAGTGAAGTACCCGTAGTCGCGTTTAAACTGCGCGTTGAGCGCCTCGATGTCGTCCCCCAGCTGCGTCTGCGCCTCGCGCATGTCGCGGACCATCTCCAGGGCCTCGGCCAGCCGGCCGCCGCCGTCGGGCCTAGGAGTCGGCGGAGGCCGAAGTCCCGGTGGAGCACTCGTCGTCGCTGTGGTATTTCGCGGATTTGGCCACGGTGTTGGCGCTGCCGCTCAGGCCGCGGCCGCCGACTTCGCCGCGCAGCCCCGAGCCGGCGTCCATGCTCTTGAGGTGCGCGATGTTGTCGGCGCTGCCGTACCTGTTGCGGATGAGGCTGGCCAAGCCGCGCGACTTGTTGAAGAAGAACGGCGGCGAGAGCGACACGCCAGGCCCGACGGTCTTGACCTTGTCCAAGGCGGGGTGGCGGCCCGAGGCGCCGACCTCGCGCAGGCCGCCCTCCTTGCCGTGCCCCCCCGAGTCCCGGGCGCCGTCCTTGTGGCCGTGCTTGCCGTTGGCCTCGCTGTCCCTGGCGCGCCGGTGGTACTGCTCCAGCTTCCTCTGCAGCCTGCCGATGGAGTGTGCCGACTTGCGGTTCTTCTTCTCAAACACTTGCCGGATGCGCACCATCTACGGCGGTGGGAAGTTGGCGCTCAGTTTCCACGGCGGGATAAGCCGGACGATTCCCAACCGTGAAGTCCCCAAACCTGCTGCTTGTCGGCGTTGTTGACCAACTTCAGGTACTCCGCCACATTCTGGTCCCGTGCCGTCTGCTCCACCTTGATCTGCTCCGTCACCTAAAGCGCCCCGGGACAGTTTCCATGACGACCAGGAAACAAGACGTCCTCAGTCGGTGACATCTGATTGCTATACCAAGCTACGCCTCTTATCAAATGCTTGTCTTTAAACCTGTACGACTTTTGAGGGACTTACGGTGATACTATTTCCACCTGTGCAGCTTTTCTAGCCATTACGGTAGTGCACGTATGAATCAGTCATTTAGTTCGGCATGCCACCGACCTTGAGGATCTTCTGCTGCAGGCTGTCGATGCCGAGCGCGCCCTTGTTGAAGTCCAGGCCCACGCCGTCCACCACATCATCCAGGTTGGACTCGGAACCGCCGCGCCGCATGGGCACCGGGATGCTGAGGACATCCCAGCCGCTACGCTCCGCCTGGACACACACCGGACGTGGCGCAGGCAATCCAAAATAAACAAAATGAAAAAAAAGAAAAGAAATGTTTTTACATCACGGACAAACGGGCTTTTTCAATGCAAATAGCCTCTGTGCATTCCCCTCATCAAGTCAAGGTGCTGCTTTAAAAACAAAGTCAAACTCGAACAGTCAGTTCACCGCTTGAGTTGACTCCTCTCGTGCTCTTATTGCAACAAATATGGAATTTTAACACAGGACGTTGGCAGGCTTTAATCCATCACGCTGCGGTTTTTTGACAAGGACTCTCTGGATGTGTGTGTGAGCGTGCAAACACACACACACGCACCAACCTTTGCTGTAACATGAATAAAAACGGTACCGCAGAGATACCCTCCAGTGCTCTGCTCCCCCCAGCTTCATTTCCACATAATCGACACTTTAAGTAGTGTGCAGAACCAATACATGCACGCGTGCATGTAGACGAGCGCATTTTGACGCCTCTCCGCTGGTGCTAATGGTGCTTTTACTCAAGCGAGCTCGGTTGTTAACACGCCGGCAGAAAAAGCGACGCGGCTCAGCTACCTCACTTCATTAAAGCAGGAAAAAAAAAATAATAAAATCCCCGCTTGTGCCAAAAAGAAGGGGACAGATAGAAGAAACTGTTCTGCCAAAGGAGCGAGCACATTAAAGTGTCTGCGTCTAAATTAAGAGCACATTGAAATTCGGGGCACGCTCACACGCAGGGTTGGAAACATTGCTAAAGTTCATTTAGGAAACAGAAAAGGACGCTTTAAGGTGAAATGAGTCGGAGGCCTGCAGCAGCTTCAGAGAGGAACATCCTGTAAACTGTGGATCACACACACACACACGCACACACACACATACGACAGACAAAAACTGTTGCTGCACTGCACGCTTGTGCGGCGGGGAATGGATCCATGCGAATCCCGCAACAATTGCGGCTTGTTATCGAGTTAAAAGTCATTCCAAATGTTGGCAACACGCGGCTGGCGAATATGACAACAGTGGCCACACCCGCAAGACGCGCACAATCAACGGCTCAAATGCTCACGGCGCTTGGCCTTTCTTTTTGCACATGCTTCATACGCTCCGACACGCAGCGCTGGATTTAAAAACCAAATAATGCAGGCAAAAAAAAAAAACACGTTGTAATCCCTCCTCTTCCCTACTCTTGTAATCCCGAGAGTTTAATCTGAAAAAGATTACCCAGCAACCCCTGCTTCATTTTCTTTTCTTTTTTTTAAAAAGGGGGTCAAAAATGCTGAGGAGGCCAGGTGACGACTTTGGACAACGACAAAGAAGGGAAGCGCTGAGGATGTTTTGCGGAGGACAGTGCGTCTCACCTCGGCGGAATTTGGAGATTTTTGGGTGAAGACCAAGATACTGTTAAAAAAAAAAAAAAAAAGTCGGAAGTTTCATGCAGTAAATCACACTTGTACACAAAGTCAAGAAGTGCTCTGAAGAGTTCCAACCTCACATAAGTCACCCACGGAACAACAAAATGCACTCTGTCGCCAAAAAAAAAAAAAAAAAAAAAACATTTCATATAGCGACAGAATGATGAAATAAAATAGTGGTGACATTTTTATAACCCCCCCAGGGAGGCGATTTTGAAATCAAACTCAGGATGTGCTTCTCACACAGAATCAGCTGTGTGTCTTGTGTGTATATCACTTTAACAGACAGAGTATTTGTGCCTCTCTTAATCCACAGTGTGTTACTCACACACCCAATATGGCTGCCACTGGTGTGCGTGCGTTCGTGTGTGTGTGTGTGTGTGTGTGTGTGTGTGTGTGTGTGTGTGTGTGTGCGTGCGTCTTTCGCCGATGAGATTATCCCACATTAGCGCTCTAATCCGTCGCCACCGACCCCGCGTCCCTTCGACGTCGCCGTACGACGGCTGACGGGCGTGAAGCGAGAGTGGCGTCCGTCCGCTGCCAGCGTGGAAAAACCATTGGGCCGGTTGCCATGCCAACGGAGCTGAATGAAAAGCGCCGGCGGCGAAGCCATCGGTCGCAATCTCTCCCCTCCCCTTTTCTTGCCTCTCAATGGCGAAAGCCGCAAAGCGTGATGTCGTTCGAAAGCATTACACGCTTCTGAAGTGAAGTGGCTTGGAGCCCGCATTGAAGAACCCTCGCGGCATCGATTAAAGCCACGCTCCGACATTGAGCACTCAGATTATTTCCAAAGAGATGCGGATCTATTTTGAGATGAGCAAAACGGTTTTGTTCATTTCCGTTCTCCGATTTCGTGACAAATTTACAGTCTCGGGGTGTGCAAATCGTTCGCGATTGTTAAAAGATTGACATGCGCAGTCGCTCTTCTTTAAGGCAATCGACGGACCAAGGCGGGGTACGACATTCCAGCGCCCCGAGCTGGCTGACGTCACTTCCGATCGTCGTGTCTTTCGTCTCATCGCTGTAATTTTTACAGATAAGCTTGCCAACATTTGTCGCGATCTGATTAATTGCGCGCATTACTGCTCCGGCCCAACAGAGGGCGGCACAGTAGAGTCTGTGCTCGAAAACGACTGTTCAAATCAAGCACTTCGGGTTTGATGTCACAATTTTGCCACCTGAAAATGAGTCGTACCTTTTTCTGAGAAAAAAAAGCAAAAAGGGGAAGTGGACACCCATGAGGAAAATGCCCCCAAATTTAGAGCAGGGCGCCTGGAGACAAGCCAGTCGGGAAGAGCAAACACAGCTCAAGACTTTCACTCCACGCAGGAGAGCAAACAGGCATTAAAAGGCCATTCGCATTGATGCCCTGATAACGAGACAAACACAGTCGAGCGACTCCATTTCCTTCAAGGGAAGCTTCTTATCACACGTACACAGTGCGTGCGTGCGTGATGCATCACGGGACGCAGACAACGCGGCTCAAAGTCTGCGTTGGGAATCACTCCCTCGCCACGTCGCCATGCACGAGTGAGCTCCCGATTTCTCAGTAAGCTGCAGTCAGATGAGTCGGTTATTGCAACCTGAATCAGCCACTGCGTTCGGAATGATTCATTTCGTTTGATTCATTCACTGCCGCCCTTTGTCGCGGTGAGGGAACGCGGCCTCCGTAATTGGACGTTCTGTCCAAATGTCAAAGGGAACCTCTGGCCTCCGAAACGTAATCAAGTAGTCAGAGTGAGATGAAGCGTTTCAATCGCATCTCCGGGACTCGCCGACATGGAAAATCGTCGCTTGGTAAATCCGACGCCGCGGAGTGAACGTGTACGAGCATGACGGCTCAAAGTATCACCTGAACGCCCCCGGAGGAACTCATCCAGGAAGGCGTTTGCGCTTGAAAACAAGACGAGGACGACGTGCCTCTTGGGGAACTCTCATCTCTGGGTCGTGACCTTTCAAGAGAGGCCCACTCGAGCTTGGCTAACACAGGTCAGCGTGAGCTGCGGCGTGTGTGTCAACAATGCACAACATCAACCTGAAGGAAAACAACATTTGCGGCAAAGAACCTATCTGAGTCATCGCGCGCACACTCCACTCGGCAAACCTGTTCTGCTCTGCCTGCACACTCGCCACGCAAACAACCCCCATCACTGCGGGTCCAGTTCATACCGTCCGATTAGACTTCAGACGTCGTTCAACTCCATTTACAATGTGGCTGTTTGAAAAGTGGCTCGTGTCGAGAAAAACAACATTGACGCCACTTCAGAATAAAAGCGCACCGTTTAGTCTTGAGCAAATATCACAGATCGATGATTTGATTCTTTGCGCGCAAAATCAAGCCCCCCCAAAGTCTCAAGTATTGCTCGTTTGTCGCTGAGATGTGGCGTCGCTACAGCATCATCTTCACCCACGAGAGAAAAGTCATTTTGTCAATGAGGTCTGGCACGCGAAGTGGTGGCATGTTTTCAGGAGCAGGGGATACATTTTTTGTGGTTCCAGAAATGTGTTGCTCAGCAATGTGTCACGCAGGCGGTTTGTTCATATGTCATGACGACATGCCACAAAATAATTTCGGAGCAGGATCGCTTGTTGGTGCCAAGTAGGTGACGAGTTGCCTGATTTGTTTTCATCAACGTGCCGTGCAAATTAGAAATGAAAGAGTGCAACTTGTCATTGCTCGAACGTGCAGTTCATTTCGGTCAACTTCTTGAGAAACAACATCCACACGTTTACCATATTAGCGTCGACGGGGTGACCTCAGCCCGACTTGTGGTAAACTTTTCCCCGAAGCTGCTCCACCGGCCCCGGACATCGTCTCGACTTCGACGGTGCTCCAGTCGTCGGCTTTCAAAAGGTCCGTTCGGAGGTGCAAAACAAAAACATCCCCGAGTGCCGAGACACCGGACAAAACCACACGCACGAACCGACGCTGCACCGACTCCGACAGGGATGGCGGGTGCAAAACAAAAACATCCCCGGTGCCGAGACACCGGACAAAACCACACGAACCGACGCTGCACCGACTCCGACAGGGATGGCGATGGTGACGGTGAGGTTCCACGCCGTGGCAGCCCGGCGACGTGGCTGACGGTACACAAGCCGGCCGCAACTGCCGAAACTACTGGGACGCGCGTAAGCCCCGCCCGCCGCGTCCCAAGTGGGGAGGTGTGGCTAAACGAATCAAAGATACGCTGCTTAAATCCACGAAAATCAAACATTTATTTATGAATAGAGTGAAAATTAGTAGTAGAAGCGGAAACATGAAATAAATAAATGAAAAAAAAATAAATAAAAGTTTTGGACATTTGGTTTTGAGAAATAAATGTTTTAAAAATGATCCAAGTTGCAATGTACTTCACACCCAACATTCAATTGCCACTTTCATTCAATAAAAGTATAAAAATAAAGGTTTAAATCAGGTGTGGTTCATTCTTCAATCGATATGAAGTTTTCTGCTTTTTTCCATCAAAATATTCATCGATTTTCTTTGCTTTTTAGAAGGGGGGTGGGAAACCAACAAATATGGCTTGATTTATCATCATGTCATTTTCTGCTTACGTTTGTCTGGACAGAACGTCTGGCTTGTTTCCTGCAGTCGGTTTTGTGTCCTGAATCGTTAATACACGTGGGCCCAACAATAATGAAACTAATTAGTGTGCCGGGTGTAATGGGATCTCTCAAGGCGCACTCTTTGTTAATAATTCATCTCATCTGGCCATTTTGTCACCTGAAGTGTGCATAAAAAAAAAAAAAGCTCACTGAAGGGCTTTGGCGTCCTCTCATGCGAACTTCGAACCCGCTGAGTCTCCACCTTAAAAGGACACTCTGCGTGATCTTAATCACCAGGACAAATAAATGCGAGCGTTGGCAGCACGGAACCCCCGAGGGGGCTTTGCCTGAGGCCTTGAGCTCTATTATTGAAGTCAGGCAGGCTGTTGTTATCGCGTGTGTGTGTGTGTGTGTGTGTGTGCGCGCGCGCTGACTGATGGTCTCCCAGCTATGATCAATACTAATAACTTTGCACACTTCCAGTCCATTGCAGCCACGCACTGATTAGCGTGGTCGATACACGTGTGCTAAACAGAGACAAGGGAGACAGTGAACAGTTCTTCATTCTGGACGGAATTCTATGAAGTCGATGATGATGATGAAGACGATGATACAAGATGTGCGTCAGGAGCAGGCAGAGATGCAAGATCCCCGCATGAGCCCATTGTTCTCCTCTGCTGGTGCTCCTTGTTTGTGTTCTTGACGGACTTCCTGCCTCACTTCCCGTCTCCCACCAGAGAGACTTCAACGGCGATAGCGAGCGGACCAGGCAGCGAAAAAGGAGGGTCGGGCCGAGGGTGGACGTTAAGGCCAGAAGAGGGACGTTCTCGGGTGGAATGTTGGAGGGGGCTGGGGGGGGGGGGGTTATGGGAGCGTCCTCCAATGTTTAGGAGGAGGAGGAGGAGGAGGAGGATCACGGGATCTGGAATGTCTCAAGGGGGTCGTGATGGTGATTCCGAGTTCATCCGTTGGCCTGTTGGGTGATTCGTTTGTTCACTGGGTTTTTCTGAGTTCGTCGCTTGGCCTGTTCGCTAGTCAGTTAGTTTGGTTCACTTCAATTCATCACTTGTTTCGTGAGTTCATTTGAGATCGTTAATGGCTTGGTCAGTTAGCGTGGAGGTGGAGTGCGCGGGCAGATCCAGGATTTTCTCCTTCACGTCGACAAGAAAGGCCGCGAGGTTTGCGTCTGCGGAGGGAATTTTTCCAAATTGCTCGTCCAAGGTCAACAGAGTCCAGTTGAGAGATAACTTGACATCCGCTGCGTGCCGCGGAAGAGACGGACAGCAGACGAGGCCCAGAAAGTGAAACGCGACGCCAACACAAGTGACACAATATCCTCGGTCAAAGACGCTCCGAGGAAAGAGGAAATGAATCTGTCGAAATAAAACCAGAGCTCATGTTGCTCGGCGACACTCGGCGTGCATCCCCGGGGAAAACAAGTACTACTCGCGTGCTTTCTCGCCTGGTATTAGCAATCCGGAGAGCACTTTTGTTCGGCGGTGGGCTATGGAAATTTTCTAACCGTCCCCGGGGAAAACAAGTACTACTGCGAGCTTTCTCGCCTGGTATTAGCAATCCGGATGTGGAAACGTGGGCAAGGCAAGCTCGCTAGAGCGCACCGGCACTCAAAGGATTCACTTTTTTGTGGCATTTTTGTTCGGCGGTGGGCTATGGAAATTTTCTAACCTCGGTTCAATAAAGGTTAAGAAACAGTTTTGTCCCCGCCTCTTGAATTTCGCCCATTTTCCCGCTAACAGTTTTTTTTTTTTGTTTTTTTTTTTGCGCAGCCTCTTTTGTGCGTTCCTGACAGGGGAACTAAATCATCGGGCGTCCTGAATGGACTCGCCAAGGCCGCAGAACGCCTCGCGGCGCCTCCGGCTTGTAAATTGAAAGCGACGCTGCAGATGCGGGGCCGTCATCGCATATCACACGCTGACAGTTTGGCCCTTTGTGCTGCCATCGAAGCGCGTCTCGCTCTTGGACTCGGTCGAGGCGCTCCGGGCAGCAGATGGAGCCACCAAAGCGCAGCGCTGAACATCTGCGCAAGACCGTCGCGACAAGATCTCCTCCAAGGCCAACCTTCCCGAACACCCTCCGCCTGCACACAGTCTGCCTCACTTTCAGTCATTTTGATTCAGGAGGGAAAAGGTCAATCCAAGTTTCCTGTTTTCATGGAGCCGCACCTTGATCCAAATCTTGAAATGAATACAAGAAGCGCACCAAACTTCCGGCTCGTTGGTGACACCTCCCAAAATGGTTACGATTGTTTGAAAGAGACCGAGCTGCGATAGTTGAATGTGGGTGTCTTTCATGTGTCGCCGCGGGCACCGCGCGTGCTACGCTCGCGACCTTTCGGGTCTTTTGTCTTGCTATGAGTGGTTTGAAGTTTTCACCAGGCTAAAGGACAGCTGCGGCGGGGACACGCGCACACGTCACCGCCGCCAACGCTGGCTTCAGTATCATGAAACGAAAAGAGCAACACAAAGATATCGCCAATGAATTTGTCCGGGGAAATGTGCTCATCCAATCAATCAAACAAATGTAAGCCTGTTCGCTTTCCACCGGCATTACTTTGAAGTTTCGTGAGGTCAGTTGGGCTATCGTGATGGATTTAAATGCTGCGCCTGTTTCCAATGAGAATCTGTGTCTGTGTTTGTGTGTGTGTGTTGAATGTTCATAAATGAGGAAGTGGGGGGTGGGGAGGGGGGCTTTTGCCTGGTTTCCATAGTGACAAATTGAGCATGGCAGGGGGTAATGGAGATGAGGGGTCCGCACAATCACATTTACTTCATGAACAGCGGGAATTCTCCTCCTCCTCCTCCTCCTCACTCATCATCATCAAAGGTCATCAATCACGCAATTGATGACCTTTGATTCACTCGAATGGCCAACATTGTTCAGATTGCATAAACAAAAAAAAACAAAAATGTATTTGAGGTCAACGATCCTCGTCGAGAGCGTCCTTGATGGGGGCAGTGGGGGTCCGTGCCGGCGTGGTGGGAAAACAGGAAGTGCCCCATTAAACCAGAGCACTTACGCAACATTTTTCTGTTGTTGTTTTTTTTTTCCTTTACGCTGCTCCCTTGCATGGAAGCACATACGTTCGAGTCGTTTTTATTTCCGTCTAGACTGGCACGGACGAGTGCGACTGGGCTGACATAGTCACTCGCGGGTGTCTCTGTGCAACCCAGTGCATTTAAACACATCTGCCGTTATTCCGAGCGTACAGAAAACGCACAATGTCAACGCACGTGACTTCTTTTGGTGTGTTTGTTTCCTCCCCCCACTCAGCAGTAATAGAAAAGGTGCGTCTGCCTGCCTGCCTGCCTCTGCTCCTTCCACATTCTTGAAGTATAACGCAAGCAAGCAAAGGTCAACCGTGCTTGCCAGCGTCGCCCCAAACGTGGCGAAACTCGTCTACTGGCTGCAACCAACCACGCCACTCATGGACTCCGAGCGCACAGCGACAGACGGCGTCGGCCTATTTCCCCCTCGGGGCTCGTGTGACACTCTTATTGTGAAAAGCGACGTTTCCTGTGTCAGCACCTGCCGGGGCGTCAGCGCGCACCCGGGCTCCGCTTCGCCCTGACGTGCGCAACGGCCGGCCGGACCTTAAAAGGCACCGGACCGCCTCAAATAGAATCTTTGCGATCCCTATCGGACACAAGCCAATGGCCTCGGTACACGTCGCCACGGCAACCGCTGCCTCAGACCAAGGATGGAGACGACTGGGGGGGAATTCCCGTGCGAGAATCTCCCAGAAGCCTCTAGGGGGAGACAACACTCTGAATTTACGATATGTGCTTCTTCAGGGTTTCAATGAGGGCTTGGATTTTGGATGAATCGCTGCAAATACTTTCGTACCACAAAGTCCTTCCACTTGACCACAGCTGATATCACATGATTCTTTTCATGATTTTGCAGGATGCAATGAAACTTCACAATAAAAGAGAGCGTCATGCAAAATTAAATATTTGGTCTAGACCCGAGGCATCATAAATTATTTACATCGCTATAAAACAATCGTGCGCTGAATATGATACAATTTAAATTCTTTCACTGCATTAGCATTCGTGACACAATATCCTCTTATGGATGAAGGAAGAGCGAACCCGAACCCGGTTATGATGTCACAGAGGCCCAAAGCGTTCAGATGCAGTACTACCATTTGTCCACACGAGATCATCGTTGCACCGTTAAGTTGCTGTCGTTGACTCGGGTTGGGCATCCCCGCCACCCCTGCAGACAACCACAGGAGGGCCACCGCCTGAGGGAGGGAGGCGGCCATGCCCTTAGGTGCCCTTAGGTGGGTGGGTGGGGGGTGGGGGGTCGCTATTCACTCCTAGACAGAAGACAGGACAACGTATTGGGATTGCACTTTGCAACTGCACTGAACTCGTTTAAGATGTACATACAGTTGTCAGGACAACCACATTGTTGTATTAAACGCGTGTTAACACGCCAGCTTATCCAAATCATCCCCCCTATAGGATAATTTTAGTAGTTTGTGCAAAAAAACTACGTTTTGGTCATTTTTGGGGACAGTCCAGAGTCATTTTTACACTGCCTCGTTTTAATACATTTTCTTCGTCAAGTTAGTGACAAATTTAATGACAACCTAATAAAAACCATTCACGTTTTTAATTAAAACGTATTGATTTGAATACATTTATGAGTTTGAACAGGCTGACTAAATATGATCTCATCGTGTCGTGACGTGAATTTATTCATGTGATACAAAACTGGTTATGGGTCACGGCATGCGTGGATGTTATCAGGCCCATGCCGTTGAGGTTGGACTGTGTGTGTGTGTGTGTGTGTGTGTGTGTGTGTGTGTGTGTGGATGCAGGTGTAGCAGCTCACGCAGGCCGAATGGGGGCTGCTGGTGGCACAGGCGATCCTATCAGTGTTTGCCCAAAACACTCGGCTTCTTGTCAGCAATTTCAGCCTGAGTGAAGGCTTGGTTACTGCCACTACTTGTACTTTTTAATTGGACTTTAGACTTTCATTCAACACGTCCACAGAAGTGCGTGCACGTGTGCGTGTGCGTGTGTGTGAGTAGAGTAAGAGGTATGTGTTGATGTGCCACGCAGTGCCTGTGAATCACTCGTAATGTTTTTCTGGCTGCGTGTCTCGCGGGCCTTCGTGTCAGTACACGCCAGCTCTTCCTCCTCCTCTTCCCAAACACATTTTTTGTGTTGCATTAACGACCGATTAAATGCACGCTTGACGCTGTTTTTTGTCGTCCTTTTTCATTGTGAGACAGCACATTCGATCCTGTTCGACCCTTTTGGGCAAATAGAGCTATTTGTGTGCATCAGTAGGTATTGTGTCTGCATGAAGGTTTGGTCAATAAAGTTTGGGATACTTGAAGAAAAATACATTGGCATTTTCTAGTCATCAACAAATTAAAAAAAAAAACCAAAAGAGGGATGTTCGGGGACCCTTTTAGTATGATTATGGCTCTACCTAGTGGACAAGCTGATGAATGACACTTTTAACTTTGAACCCCCCCAAAACATCCAATTGTCCAAAGTGAGGAATACGATGACATTTGCGGCTTCTTTCAGATCTCGGTTGTAGTTATAAACACACAAACCGTTCCACAATATGAAACAACAATTGTGTCGACAAGCTTTTAGGTCCTACATTGAGGCCCAAGGAAGACCCCAAGGATCCATGCTAAGGGTCCTAATGTTTTGCAAAAGAGGCCAATCTAGTGGAACCGAATGTTGAAGTGAAAGGTGTCAGCCTGGTGGTATTGACACAGGTGCTGGCGGCTGCTTTACAAGCACATCGCCTCGAAATTTCTTCAGCCCACGACATGATGTTGGCTCATCTTTTGAAAAAAGGCGTATGCGTGGATGACATCAGGCCTTGAGTAATAATAATCAGTGAGTGTCTCACTGTCTGGATGGGCCTTCCCTGTTCTGGCTTGCTCTCATGCTACAGAAGCATTCCTGATGTGCGTGTGCGTGCATGCGTGTGCGTGTGTTTCGATGTAATTAAGTAGCGCATGGTCGCTCCCTGGAGGGAGGAGGCACCTCAGCGTGATATTTTTAGCCTGCAAGGCTTTCTCCCCTCCGCCTCGATCTTCTCCTTTCCACTGGGAGCCGAGCCCATCTGACGGGATCATTCCCGCCGCATGACTCGCTCGGCCACTTCCAAGGGGAAAGATTTGAGCTGCCCAAGAGGGCCATTGTTTTGGGTGAGAAAAATATGACCTTTTTTTCCTCCTAAAGAAATAAGTGAAGGCCAAAAAAAGCATTGGGGGGAGGTAAAAATATCACTCTGTTCTCATGAGCTTTCCGATGGGAAAATCCAATCCACGTCTCGGAATGACGGCGATGGGCGCGGCATTGTCCCCGCGTGTCTGCGGGGAGCTGCCGTGGGGGGCCATGGGCGACCGACGCAAGAATGCTGACGGGACAAAAGGCCCGAAACTGGCTTGTAGGGCAGCACAAGCGGGCTATTGTGCACTTGCAGGCACGGAGCGCCACCGCAACACACCGACCGCGGCAAAGCACCGCGTGGCGGGCCGGACGGCCGGCGAGCTGCAAACGCTTTCCCGCCGTGGCGCCAACAGGCTGGAGGCTCCTGGAACTCAGGCCGAGTGAGCATAGGAAATGCAGGGGGGGGGGGCAATCGAAGGTTCTTGGCTCGGTTGAGGAGTTGTGTCTTCACGCCAAGGACGATTCCCAGCGCGGGGAAGTCCTCCCTCAACAAAACAAAGAATACAGCACAATGCAGAGGGGGCGGTGATTGGCAAATAAGGACAGAAAGGCAAAACAAGTTCCATTGTGGAAAATCGGTGTTTTTTTTTTTTTTTTTTGCCAAAACAAGTTCCATTGTGGAAAATCGGTGGTGTTTTTTTGTTTTTGTTTTTTTTAATCATGACATCATTCCACTTTTTATTGTACTTGAGCAAACGGGCCTTCCTTTCAATTCGCATCAACCACTTTAACAAATGGAATATTTTCCAATCTGCTTTTATCCTCACAAGGGCCACGGGGCGGCTGGAGCCTATCCCAGTTGACTTCGGGCAGTAGGTGAGGGACACCCTGAACCGGTTGCCAGTGAATTGCAGAAAAAAAAGGAAAAAAAAAAAGGAGAGAAGCTGCTCACCTCTGGCTGTCCGACATGGAAACCGGACGAGCCAAGATCGCGTCGGCACCTCGCGGCAAAGCGCGTCACGGCCGGCGGTCGGGAAAGGGCCCAAACCCAAACAGCGCCGACGGTCGACATTCTGCGGTGCCGTGTGAAGAAGGCCGGTCGCCGCCTGGTCTGTTTTGGGAGCGACACTGATGGATTGACTTCAGCGCACGGGAGAGAAAGTCGCGGGCGATAAGGATATATTTGACAAAGCCGTGTGAAGAATTTCAAGGTCCGCGCGGAGACCGCTGCAAAACAAGATTAGCAAGCTGTCACATCAAAACAACACATACGACCACAGCGAGAGAATCTGTTACAAAAAAACAAAAACCTAACTTTTGTTAAGCGTGAAAAGTTTCAAAATAGCCTTGCCTCAAAGTTAGCAGAGTCAAATCCATTTTTACAGTCCAATCGAGCATGTGAGCCACTTCGCCTCACGTAATCACTCACTGACATTACCCAGAGAGCTGAAGTGACTTGACCACTTTTGTTGTCAACATTCATGGTGGGGGGTCGGGGGGGGGGAGAAAAAAGACATGAGAAAAAGTCATGGTGCATTGATAATTGTATTATCATGCATTGGAGAAGCCCTCGGGGAGGGCAAACGGCGCCCCACGTGGCCTTATGATGCTACAAAAAGCCTACAAGTCCAAACTAACGTAAAGCTGAAAAATTGCTGTCACATGACAATAATATTTAAATCGAGATACAAATAACACTGTACAAAGAGTCGAAGGAAGGAAGGAAGGAAGGAAGGAAGGATGAAGAGTCATCTTTCAATGAAAACAAAAAAAGAAGAGCTGGACTGGGACTGTGCTCGGGCCTAAACCTCCTCACTTGATTCTTCTTACATGCGTGCGCGCGCGCGCGCACACACACACACACACACACACACACACACACACACACACACTTCTACATCCCCATGCACATACTCAGTCTAATACATTCACGTTTGGGGGCGATTGGCCGCCATCTTGCACCTGGCCTGGCGAGGACTGAACCACCTGCAGTGGCTTGTATGGCTTGGTCTCCCTCACTGTGGGGTGTGTGTGTGTGTGTGTGTGTCCATGTACACACTCGACTGCGTGTGTACGTGCATCTTTGTGCGTCCATGTTCCATTCCAGTCCATTTTGCTGGTTAAAGTGCACAGAGAGAGAGAGATCTCTTTTTTTTTTTCTCTCCACCATTGTCAATCCAGGTAACGAGGCCAAAATGATAATCTGAGTTGAATCATCCACAATTGAATAATCCGGGCATGGAGTCCCTCTCCAGGAAAAAGTCTCAGCCGTGCGTGCGTGCGTGCGGGTCTACCAGTTGCAGTCCTTCTTGAGCAGCGCGAGCACTTTGCGGCCCAAGGTGGCCGTCCAGGGCTTGACCAGGCTCTTCATGTTGACCAGCAGGTGGCCCCGCTTCCTGTCGGCGTGGCCCGCCACCAGGTACTCCACACCTGACCAACGTCACAAATACCACACCGGAGTCACTTCGAAACCCGAACATCATTTTCTTGTTATCAAAATGGTGCATTGATTATGATCAAGCGCGTCATATTTAATGATCGACCGATCGAAAGTAGGACACGGCCCCGCTCGGGAACGCAAGCGCGATAAGGCCGTCGGCTCGGCCAAGAGCACGTTGCAGGCGGCCTCGTCTCAAGGTGAAAACCGACCTGGGTTGAGGATGGGGCAGGTGCAGCCCCGGGCCGTCCACGACTCGGGATAGAGCGTGACGCGGCCCCGCTGGAGCTTGGCCGCCTGACTCAGCACCTTCTGGACCTTCACCTCCACCTCGGCGTGCGAGCCCTTGTCGTGGGCCGACAGCACCTTCACCTTCAGGACTGAAAGCCACACACAGGTCAGGGCGGGGGACGCATCATGTGCGTGCGTGCGTGCGTGCGCGTGCGAGGGCTTGACGGTTTACCGTAGGCGTAGTTCATGGTGCAGAACAGTTTACTGTTGGTCAGCGGCTGCTCTTTGCACTCGCACTTCTCTGCGGGGGGCAATCACAGCATCCATTAATGTGTGGCGTCCAAAGAATGCAATGTGTGGGGTTGGGGGGTGGGGCAGTCACATGCGGGCACGGACACACACACACACGCACGCACGCACGCACCCGAGTAGTGAAGGGCAGAGAAGAGCTCGTCCACTCTGAAGATCCTGACGGGCTGGCTGGCGTTTGCCTCCAAGTTGTACAAGTCCGACCTGCGGCATAACACACACAAGTTCCAATCAAAAGTATTGGGACAGTGAGGAATTGATTGATTAACGCAGAGCATCACAAACGTTTGAGGTAGGAAGGGCAAATGGCCATTTTGGTGACAAATGTTATGAGAACAAATTCAAATATTTTGAAAGACAAAAAAAGATACGGTGAGGATGATGGATCACCCCCCTGCACCCCCCCCCGCACCTCCCCGCACTTACATCTTCATAGAGTTGGGTTTTTTCCAAGTCACAATATCAATACAATGGGATTTTGGCCTGTTTTACTGCCACTTCTCCTCTTTCCTCCCTTGGGCGAGGGGAAAGTGTTGCGATGCAAGATTCTGCATCGAACGACTGAGTTCTGCGAAGAAGCGTTTCCCCGGAAGCATCGACCTGACCCGGAAGCCCATTCGGACACTTTCGCGATGAGGTCCCGGTCGGAGGGATGTGTCCAAACGCTTGAGTGTGCGACTCACCCGAGCACGCAGTCGCCCGTGAAGGGGTCGCAGTCTCCGGCGCAGTCGCATGGCCGGCAGCCGTATTGGTGGAAGCCCCAGTATCCCACCATGCACCTGTCGCAGCGGGCGCCGCCCACGCCGGGCTTACAGATGCAGCCGCCGTCGCTCGGGTCGCAGGGCGCGTCGCCGGCCGCCCGCGCGCCCGCGGAGCCCAACGGGTGACAGTTGCAGGCTGGGAGGAGCGAAGAGGGAAGTTAGCCAAAAGGTTCCGTCTTCGGGTCAACTTCGGCAAAGTTGCAGGCAAAGTTCGCCAAAGTAGCTTTGAATATTTATGTGTTGTGAACCAACATATGAGCTTGTCTCCATTTTTGTCTCGGAATCTCGCCTGAGACAGACACATCACGCCCACCTCAGTAAGACCAAATGTGAGAAGATAAACAATACAGCCCGAGGCAGACAATAGCAATAAAAGCATCAGGATATCACCTTTGGGGGACTTTACGAGCACATTTTATGCGCTTTTTACGTGCTTATCTAGCGTGTTAATGTTCAACGGAGATTACGGGCAGCGCCATGTGACGCCGCTGCAACACGCATGTTCATGTGTGCGAATGTCACACTCTGGACCATTTGAGAGTGATGCAAAAGCGGCGGCGTACAAAGACTCGGTTGCTGTCTCGAAAGAAGTCGCTCGGCCTTCCTGCTGTTTTGCTGCGTACCAGCTTGTGTGGCGCATGACAAGATTGTTTTCTTAACGCCGCCCCCCCGCTGACTCTGGTATGATCAAAATGTTCCTTGCCAAGGAGGGAAATTCCTTCATTGTCGGCGCAAGACGAGAGGATTTCACAACCTTGATCTTATTTATCCTCAGTCACACGCAGCCCCCCCCCAACCCCCCCTTGGATGTTCCATTAGGTCCACCTCGTGCGCACTGCTGCTCCTATTTCGCTCAACTTTTTTGTTTTTTGTCATGCATCCTATTCGTGTAGGGATTGAAGGGAAAAAAAAAAAAAGCGATCTTGCTCTCATTTACCGTCGCGCACCAACATCAACTCAAAATCCTTTTCAGTCACTGACATTTACTGTTCTGTCTTTGATAAATAAAATGAGGAGCTGACGAGGCAGCGTGTCCTTCCATCCGTTTTCTGGAGCGCTTATCGCCACCAGTCATTGACATGCCAACGTACCTTTGCGGCTGACCAGTTCCTTCGGCACGGAGGCGTTATAGCAAACGGGCTGACTCAAATGGATCTAACCTGACCAATTTCACTCAATACGATCGCCCAAAAAAATCATCCGGACTTTCAATCGCGAGGCGACACAAGGTGCAAAAAATAAATAAATAAATAAATAAATAAATAAAATTAGAACATTTTGAAACCGACATCAATTCATTGGAAAAAGCAAAGTAACCTCATAAAATCTAATCAGATACCCTCGTGAGGCTCTTTGGTTACTATGGTTACAATTAAAAAGAGCAGAAAATGAATTGCGGGTAAACACGGCGTGTTTGGAGACGGTCTGGTGCATTTTGACAGTTGTTTTGGACACACAGACACACACACACTCACACACACACACGCACTGCAGCATACCTGCAGGGCTGAGCTCACGGCAGGGTCGCATCTGACAGATAATCGTTGGCGAGAATGTAGCCAGCGCTGCGTGTTTATAGATGACTATCTGGTGTTTACTCAAGACTCATCTCATCGGCGGAGGGAGGCCCGGCAGCACGCCGCTCGACCCCAACACGCAGACACTCGCACACACACAGCTGCTGCCATTTAGCCGTCAGAAAGCACAAAACAAGCCCAACCGGACAAGCGCGCTGGCCGCCGACTCCCGGCGCAGGTACGCCACCGTCTGTTGATGAATTCAGCGGCAAACCTCGGAGGCAGCGTGGGCCGCGTGACGTCTCGCGGAACGCCCGTGCACGCCGGTGCCCATCAGGCATCGGCGTGATGCAGCGGCACGTCCCGGCTTGCACTCTTCCTCATTCCTGGCGAGAACGAGGACGAGCGTGCCGGCCGTGTGCCGCGACCGAGAAGATGTGCAAGGTTGTTCAATTTGTTCACCGGTGGCTCGGGCACCGCAAAGTGACACTTTGGGTGGGTGGGCGACGTTTGACACCGGTTGAGATGAGGAATTTGGCTGCCGGGCGGCGGGAGCATTTGAGGTCACGCAGCACGAGACGTGTGAGTGTGTGTGTGTGTGTGTGTGTCTTACGCTTGCAAGAGTCGGGGGCCGTGGGCGGCCGCCGAGGGTCCCGGTAGAAGCCGGCCTTGCAGTTCTGACACTGGCGCCCTTCGGTGTGGTGCAGACAGTCGCACACGCCGCCGCTGCGCTGGCCCGAGTCCCGCCACGTCGACCAATCAAAATGGCAGCTGTGAGCGTGTCCGTTGCACTTGCACTCTGGGGGGAGAGACAGAGAAGGCTGAGTGGGTGGGACACACATCATAAAATAATACTCGGGATCTATAGCAACGATTACTATTGACATTCGCGGGCTAATTAACAAGCAATGTTGCGAGCCAACCACAAAACATCAAAACACCCCACAGCCTTGTACCTGACCAAGATGGCCGCCCAACACACACATTTGAGGTATTTTAATGCCGGGGCAAACAGTATCTTGCAAGATAGACTCAATTAGATCCAATTGAACAAAAGCCAAAATAAAATTTTGGCTTTTCCGCTCCCCAAAGACCACCTCTGCTTCGCGCCCGACTAAGCGGCCCTGGATTTGACACAGAGTACGCCGCTCGCATGCCGGGCGGCCATATTGGTCAGGCGCGAGTGCGCAATTCGGAGTTCGTGGCGTCTTGACTCACTGCGACACTCGTGCGGCGCCCCCGTCAGGCCGTCGGCGGGCTGCCACGGTCGGTCGTTGTAGAGCGCGGCGCAGCGCTCGCAGTGGTCGCCGGCCGTGTTGTGTCGGCACACACACTTCCCGTGGACCTGTCACACATCGGACGGGAGAGGGTTTGATTTGAGACGCGTTTGAGGGGGACCAGCAAAGACGTCAGTGTGACGGCCAAGCTCGATTTTCCCACGTGAGACCCCGCGTCCCCAATCCATCCGAGTCTTCTTCACCTCTGACAACTTTTGACCCTTCCGGAATATCGTCCCACTTCATCCTCTTTCTCGGGCCTGTTCCCTCCACTGAAATGAGTGAATGTGGATTGATTGTTTGGCTTCATCGCTGGAAACAATAAAAGGGGCTCGCGTCTGGTAGGCCTCTGTGTGTGTGTGTGTGTGTGTGTGTGTGTGGATTGATTGTTTGGCTTCATCGCTGGAAACAATAAAAGGGGCTCGCGTCTGGTAGGCCTCTGTGTGTGTGGAAGAGTGCAAGTATGCAGCACCGAGAGCACAATAACAATCTCCTTGTCATTCTTGAGAGCTGGAATGCCATGTATGCTGGATAATGATTGAATAGGGGGGGGTGAGGGGAGGAAGGGGGGGGGGGCAAGGCATCTGAGGAAGCTCTTTATTTGTTTGCGTTACACCGGGCTACTGCTATGTGGGACACACGCAGTTACACAACACGGAACACGCCAACCAACAAAAAGTACGCTTGCTAAACTCCAACATGGTTTCCCACGGTGCGTGTGCGCATGTGTGAGGCGTGTCACCGACTTGAGCCGAACACGTGAGGGGCCCAAACGTGCCCTCTAGCTGAACCGACCTCGGATCAGCCCGCCACAGACGCATGCACGCACGCATGCACACGCGAACACACAGGGAAAGGATTTTTGCATCCAGCATATGCGTCGTGAACGTGGATTATTGACCAGCTCGCCCCGTCAAGTGAAACTAACAGTCCTACGAATTGGACTCGCGTCGGAGAACGGCGTTCACGACGCCACCAAATTTGAAAGAAAAAAACATCCACACATCCATCTCCGGAAGTGATGGGGAAACGGGCCAATCTTTGAATTCACTCGACGGGTTGGAGGTTACATAATTCATCTGATTGGATTAGGTGCCCAAAAATGAGCAGATCAGCATTTTGAAGAGTGAGAGGAAGCGAGCGGCAACTACGTTCAAGTGGACCAATTAGTCTGACCCCCGTGTGTGTGTGTGTGTGTGTGTGTGTGTGTGTGTGTGTGTGTGTGCGCCCAACACAGCCACAGGATATTACACAGCGTTGCATTCATTTCCTGGGACTTAGCCTGGTCAGAAGCATGACCGATACTGGCTTAGCACTTAAGCTAACGCTCCGTCTTCAACTTACTGTTGATCCTCTACAGCGTGGGGGCCAAACTCAAGGCCCGCGGGCCAGCCGCGGCCCCTTCACCGCATTTTAAGCGGTGGCGCCAGCTGGCCTGACTGCCGTGGACGTTTAGAATCGTCAAGTGGAATCTCACCGCCATCAACGGAGGCTGGTCCGTTGGGCGAGTCTGTGAAATTCGAGCTTACACGGAGCTGCGATGATGACCGGCCATCAACAGATGGCGGTGTTCCATTGCTTTTGATGTGAGAGCTGCACAGCTTTTGAGTAGAAGATAAAGAGGAGGGATTGAGCCGGGGCTTATGACATCCATCATGACTGAAGTGGGACAAGTTCAGGAAGCTCACGCGAGAACAGTTTCTGTAAATGTACGGTATGAACAGAGTGTGCGTCCCAATCGTTAGTCGAAAGCGTGTGTCGAGATTGGCAGAATCTCTGTGCACAAGCAAACAGTGGCACAGCCACCCCGCCTCCCCCTCACCCCTTTCCGTGTTTCGGGGGGGCCCCCCCCCCTGCAACATTGTGACGAGTACATAACCCTTCCTGGCGTGACGCGCGCCCTCATTCGTCGTCTTGTTTGGCTTGAGCGCCAGCACGAGTGACACAAAAGCCGACGAGCGCCACTTACGTAACCGTGTTTGTCCAAAAGCTGTCCAGGTGCCTCTTTCTCTCTCTCTCTCTCTCTCTCTCTCTCGCTCTCGCTCTCGCTCATGCCCGAGGAGATACTTGAGCGAGGCTTTACTGTTCAAACCTGCGCCGCTACGCAAATATTTGCAGGCAATATTGCACACAAAGGCCGGCGTGGGATATCTGGCCTTTCAGTGTGGCAACAGCTGAGCAATAAAACATCAAATTATCGGCGTGACTGTTTTGGGTTTGATATGCCCGGCAGAGCGCCAGACAGAGCATTGCCAGACACTCGCAAAAAAAGGAAATCGCCAACTATCAGAGGCAAAGTACTCATCTGTACTCGTCTCACTTTTTGGCACCTTTTTGTTCTAGCGGGTCCTCGATATCCTTCTCGTGCAGCGTTGGCAATGATGTCGTTCGCGCGACTTCACTTAAGGTAGCGAAAGGGAAAGTCCACATTCCGAGCCACTAAAATTCACCGGCTTCCTCCTCCGGTCACACCGCAGCCGTCCGATACGCGTTTTTCTTCTTCTAGACTGTAAAAGCAAACAAACGACAAAGCAAACACCGTCCGCTTGACTCCACGCTAAAAGTCTCCGGCGAAAAGAGGAAAGAGACCAAGGCGCTGGTTTCCTGCCACTGATTGCAAAAGAGGATGACGGCCGCGCGCGCGAGTGCGCACGTTCACACCTTCATCCGTGCGACCGTTTTGCACGCGACGACCGCGTCCATCTCGGCTTTTTAGCCGGCCGGAAACGCCGCCGCTGTCGGAGCGGGCGGGGCCGAAGGACGAAAGCAAGCGGGAACGGTGACCGAGGAAAACATAAACCCGCCGCCGTTGTCAGCATCAAGACGAGTCGGCAACACAAAGCGAGGCGGCGCGGCTGCACGAATCATTCAGCCCGCTAACGGCGCCTCTGCATTTGGGCTTCCTGAACAAGCACGGACGTCGCCGAGCGTCCGCTTGACGGTAACGAGGGAAACAGAAAGATGACGAGCACAAACAGAGCCGCGACTTGACTTGAGCAACGCGAGAATGACGTTCAAGAATTGGAATGCCGCTCGGTTGAGCAAACGCCTCCGCCGCGGACAAACTGTTCAGAAAGCCAAAGCGAGCTTCACGAAGCACGCGTGACGGTTTTCGACTCTTCCAGACGCCGCTCTTGGTTTCAATCTAAAAGCCGTCTTCAAATTCCACTGCATTTTTTTAAAGCCAGAGTGTCATCTCGAGGAGTGAAAAACGATCACGTGTGCTTCACGAAGCTTCGGTTGCCCATCACGACTTTGCACGAGCTGCAGTTCGGCGTCACAGCAAGCATCCGCGTAAACGGCCTCGTGGGCTTACCACGTGGCTGGTCCGGTCCCGGACGGGCTGGTACCCCGGCGCGGGGAGGCACTGCTCGGCGTGCCCGTTGCAGAAGCAGCTGCCCTTCACGATCAGGTCGTAGATGGCAAAGTGGCGCGTGGGCGGAGCCTCGCCCGGCGTGGCGGCGGCGGCGGCTTTGGCCTGGCACGGGCACGGCTGGCGCTCAAGCAGCCGGAGGCGAATGTTGGTAACCCGCAGCTGCTGCTGGCCCTCCAGGCCGAACGGGTCCAGGGACTCCCACTTGGGGAGGGTGCGGTAGATCACCTGGCGGGTGGGGGGGGGGGGGCATTCAAAA